GAATGGCGAATGGCCACGTGACCTGATCGCAGACTGCAGGACAGTGCCTTCGCCCGTGCGAAGCGGCTTTGAAACTCAGAGTCTTCAGGGCTCTGGCCCACAGTGTCAGCATTGCGTAGTAGGCCGGGCTTCTTAGGCGTTCCTTCACGTGAGACGAGCGGTTCTTCAACTGCCAATGCGGCAGGAATCGTTGCGACGGCCTCCCAGTACTTGGTCGCCCAGTCTCTGAACTCTCGCTCCTGACGCATGAGAATTAGGAATAAAGCAACTTCAGTTCCAGAAGCAACAGGTTCGAGACTCTGTTAGCCGAGTGCAGTCGCTGCTTGGTGTGGTCAGTGCGCACGACGTCTCGAGGAGTTTGCTTGCATAGAGAGGTTTCAATCGAATGGAGGTGCGGTGGCTAGCACGCAAGAGTACCGGGGTGACACTTTACGCTTCACCTGAGAATTTATCACGGTAGGCTTCGTACCACTCCCGGCCGCACAACACGGCAGTTACAGAACATGCCAATAAGAAGCTCAGCATCACTTGCTACGCGATGCAACAGGAGTCGCACAAGGGCTGTGCATCGTCAACCTTCCCGCTTGACCAAATGAGCACTGGCTGAAAATCGCAGGTTCTTTTGTCACGTCTGCTTGCATTTGCCAATATGTTACTTCCCCCATGCTTCGACATGGACATGAGCCTGTGCCCAGGCCGGCATGGTGATCTTTTTGATCTTAGTGGCCTTGCCGCGTGCCCTTTCCAGGTGCTTGTCTGCTTGTTGCATAGTCCCCAAAATGACTCTAAGTCCTCAACACCGAATTGATTCCGATACCATGTGCCACGAGCACCCCTTCCTGATCAGAGAGGCTGAGATTCAGCGCAGAAGACCTTCGTGCAGTCGGCAGCGACTGCGTGATGTCCTGCATTCTGCAGCTCCGGGTGGCTACAGTAGAAGTATGTTGACGGCGCAGCTGGGAAAACCACAGGCTGAACTTGATTCTGGCTGAACCCCCAACGATGCTGCACAGGACGTCCGTCCTTCGGAAGCTTGAAGTTGTCGTCCCAGACCTTTACATCGTTGCCGTCAACTTCCGAAGCTGCAGCGAAAGATTGAAGTTGGCACCTTGTGAAACTCTTCGTTCCGCTCCATCGGAGCGTCAACACTCATGACCTCACACAGGCAGCTTCATTTCGACTGGGGTTAGCAAGAACAAGCCCCACAAATTGGTCGAACGAGATCTGCACTAGCGTGTACTCTTTGCGACTCTCCAACTACAGTAATGTCTTGAAGAAAATCTCTGTCGGTGCCCGGCGTCGATGACAAACGCTGCCTGCGCCTGCGCGGGGTGACTCAGTGAGCGGTTTTGCACGATTCTCCGTCCTGCTGGCGGCACTGTGCGGAGCGAATGACTCTTCAGTCAAACAGGCGATCGGTATTACGTGAATTCACAAATATGACCTCAAAGAGAGAGATGCAGAGAGATGCATGCGAAGCATGCGAAGCCCCGAAGCGTCTTCGGCCTTCCGCTCGCGGCTTCCAGAGTTGCGGCGGACTTCGCGCAGGATCTCCAAGGCCTTGCGACTCCGACTCTGGGAGGAGACAACTTGAGGATGCTTGAAGCTTGGAGCTTGGGGCGCAAAGAGTCTTCATCGGCGAAGTGTTCGTTTTGCTTCGGGGGGAAGTCTGCGAGACCAGGGATGTTAGTCGATCGCTCTGGTTTGCAAGCCTCTCCGCTGTGCCGGCAATGACCCGTAACCATGTAGAATCACTTGATTCGCACAGAGCTGACTGACAGTCACACAAGTCGTGTCAGATCCTGCCAGATTAAGTAGCAGTCTCGTACCGTCTCTTCAAGACGCCTGCAAGAGCCAATTCTGTCTTCGGCCTCCTCCTTCTTGCCCTGTCTGTTGAGGCACATAGCGATCGTCATCTCGATCTCCTAGCAAAAGCTCTGCTAGCTGGTACATGACCCGGCGCCTAACATCTCCGGCTCAACACAGCACCATCACAGCGGAGGTCGTACTGACTGGGCCGGCGCGAAGATGCAGAAGCAACCCAGATCTGAAATTGAACTGAAGTTACAGCAAAAAAAGTTGACAGACTGAAAACCGCACCAACATGCCGAAAAGGAATGCAGCCGTGATGTGTAGAGACCCGTAGACACCAACGAGCATGGGATGATTCTCGTTGTGACGAGCATCCTCCTTGAGCTTGTTGCCGGCAACGCGACTCTGGGCCAGCTCCTGGCCAGCAGCAGATGTTTTTCGCAGGCTGATATGCTGGGGGGTGCTGCCGGCATCGGTACAAATTTGAAACCATGCAAGTGCCGTTTTTTGAGCGAAGCAAAAATAATCAGAAGTAGAGACAGCTCGTTTCGTAGAGAGCGAACGAGTCCGACTGCTCAGCGTTATGTGATGAGAATAAAACACAGGTGGGTATCTACAACTACAGGTATCCAGAAAGTATTTACCCATCCTCGATCACCCTACCCAGAACATCTCAGAGCACCAGATCAAAACATTTAAGATTTGCATGGAACAATAAGCCACTGCTGCAGATGGCTTCGGGCTGCGTTGATTGCTGGAAACTGCTTGCGTCTTCGGCGGAACTCTGAAGCTTCGTTCATGAATGTGTGTCTGCAATGCACTTTGAACCTTGTCTTCAGAAGCCGAAAGTTTCATGGTTGGTAATCAACGCGTTCACTTCATAGCGCACCAGTCTTTCGCCGTGTACTAAAGGTTGCCGTGAATGGGACGCATCAATGTGACTCACACAATTTTCGGGGAGCTCTGAACTCCATCGAACAGAAAGCTAATTGCTGCCGGCGGAGCTAGGTCGGTCTGCTGCTTCTAAATCGAGCTGTGGCACATCTGTTGGCCTACACAATGATTCGAACATGTTCTGATCGTCGACGCTAGAGCACTGCACCAGTATTCCCAATCAATCAAAAACTAGCTATTCGGTTTCCAAGCTTGCTAGTGCTACACTTGGTCAAAACCAGAACCCACAAGCTCTCCGTTCAATCTGAAGCGAACAGGAAATTGCGGGCCAAGACTTGGCTTATTGAGCCATTACTTTTTTCTCAGGAAGAGACCGAAGTCGAAATGCAACAAAGAACACGCAAAATCGTCGGACTGCTTACACAGCCTACAAGAACCAACTAGCTCATGGCGTACAAGGAATATACAGGTTCAGCACAAACTTCCCTGGCTAGTGTTGGGCGGAGATCCAGCCGCTCGCCCTCACAGGGTTGAGCAGTTCACTGCACTCTGAGGCCTATAACGCCTTACGTGTCTCGGATGGAGTCATCAATAGCAGAATTTGTTGAGAGGCAACTGGCTTGTGCGCTGTTGCCAAATGACATGACATTCGTCTTTGAAGCCATGCTGCCTGCGAAACCTGGCTACCAGTATCGGGTTTTTGAAGCGAGAAGATGTGGTTTTGCAGAGCTTACGGGTTTAAAGGGTTTGGGGTTTGAAGCGAAAATCCGGGAAGTCATGACAGGCCACGCCAGCGCCTCCAATTTAAATGAGACCCTGAACCCTAAGAAACCGGACCCTCTTAACACAAAGCCCAAAACCCCAGACCCCTGTTAACCCTAAGCTGACCACATAACAAGAAGTACTGAGTTTCCGACTTTCCATGAACTATTCACGGGACGCGTTGCCACATGTTGTCATGTGCGTGCTACCAACGAAGCCAGCCAGACAAGGATAAGGCCACAAGGCCATTGTGTCATGAGAACCGCGCCGGCAACACACGAACTGTCAGGAGCAGCTCGAGACATTGATCGAACCTGGACTCCTGGAAAGTTCAAATTCAAGCATAGCTCAAGCCGCAACGAGCACAGCTGACCCATCCAGAACTGGGCCTTCTGTAAGCTTTCAGATATCCTCACGGCGGTCTCGATCCAACCAACCTTCAGCAAGCTTACAGAGAAGCTGTCCCATGCGCTCGCCAAGATTCTACATCCCACCTCAGCTCGCTTTCGCACTCCAGGATCTGCAACACGCGTCCTGATGAAACCGGCAAACTCTGATGATGAACGGTACTCACTCTGTGCTGTCGAAGGTTGGCCTGAGCACATCGTAGGTGTTGAAGGCCAAGGACAGCCTTGGGATGCGATAGCGTTTTCGATCATGCTATTGCCCCTTGGGTACTCGTAGCATGCAGCAGTCACGGCCCATGTCAGCTACTCGGTGGCCGCTTGATCGGTTTAAGATAGAAACGTGTCGTCGGCATACTCCAAGTTCCACAAAGAGGATCCTAGCCTGCTAGCCTGAGTGCTCCGGAGATGAGTCCGAAAGTCCGCTCACATCCCAGTTCAACGTTTTCGAACAAACCGTAAGCAAACCTAAACAGACATGCAGAAAGAGGACAACCCTGGCGTAGGCCACGGGCCACGGGTTCGCGCATACTGCGATGAAGTATGATTACTATCGCGGACAACGAAGGTTAGTTTTGATACAAAAAGTTAATAGCACTCCGAAACGAAGGAGGAACGCCCATGTACTCAAGAGAAGATCAGATGGCTTGTTTAAGGCTTCTCTGCACTACCAGCCCTCGAGACAGAAGTGGGCGCGGGCCCTTCTCGAAGCTCGTTTTGGCAACTTACATCTCTTCGACTTTCAGCCGATTGCGAGAAGTTGGCATGCGGAGTCTCGATCTGGCCCAGTTTACAAAGACCCTGTCACCAAAGTCCGTCAGAAACGTCTAACGATAAAGTCAAGCAGCCTGCCCGAGTCTGCATAGACTATCGCGAGCGTCTCAGTCGCCTGACAGCACAGCAGCGGGAACAATCGGGCTTCGGCCCCTGTTGCCACAAAGTCACTTCACCTGGTCACAAGCATTTCCTGCAGCTTGTACTAGTGTTGCCTGTTCTTCTTATTCTTCTAAATTCTCATTCATTGTTACTACTATTACCGTTAATACTATTATTAACAATCATAAAAACAGTAGTAATAACCATGGCAATAATGAAATATTATTAGTACTCCCAGGAATTCGTCTCTCACTGCGAGCTCTAGCCACGAACTGCAAGCCCTGCACCTCGTCATCGATGGCTTGGGCGACCTTGTAGTCCAGTTTCCGACTCAGCTGCTCCTCGGGGAGGCATATTATATAATAAACCATCATACACCAGAATATACAATAATATAGCTACTGTATTCTATTGTATTATATTGGACTTATTCGATTATTGTATTGCTCATGATTTGGGAGTATTTTGTATGATGGCATGCTGATCGGTTCTGTATCGGCGTTTTTCCCTCAGCGAGGGGAATGTTTTTTTGAGTGCCTTCCTCTGCAGCCCAGTAGTTCTAGGTTACAGAAATGGCTTTGCGAGAGGCCAGATAGGAAGGTCTGAACACCACGCTCTGACGACTCCGGTTGTATAGGCTCGCACAACCAAACATCCCATATGACAATCTCATTTCTCACCGAGCTCATCCCGATACTGTTCGATTCCCTGCTCACGCTTCGAACAGAACCCTGAAGTCTCCATCCGCAACTTCGCCGTCCAGCCATTCACCATAGACTCTGCGAAAGACCGAGAAGTTAGCCTCACTCTAAAGTACTCCGGGTTTACGATTTAGGGTTTGGGGTTTGTGGGTAGAGCTAGGACACAGGGTTGAAGGAATTTTCAATCTTCCACATAGTATTGGTTCATTCATTCCTTCCTTCACTAACCCACTTGTTCGCCTGCTGTTGAATGAAGAGGGTTCCCTCGTTCACCCGTTGGGTCTCAACGGCCTGGCAAAACCTTTTGAAAGTGACGCAGCTTGAGATTACTAACTACCCCTCTCTCAAGACCCATGGGGAGGTGCAGGCTGCTGCTAGCCGGGGACGAAGATTGCAGAGGATGAATGCCAGGCGGTCCATGCCCTCATGCAGGTCCTTGCTTATTCGGTCACTGACGAGCTCCAGCAAGTCTGCGGCCTTGGGCACAGGCTGCAGGTGAAACTGCTACGCTGTGGAGGATTGAAGGTGCCTTCTCCCAGTCTTTCGCAAACATGAACTCGCGCCCTGCATCGAGCAACTGCTTGGATGTTGCGATGCCGCCCTGACCTCATGGGCACCAACAGGTCACAGATCCCAAGGTTCCAATCGCCGTGCATGGACCTTTACCAGGAATCTCCAAGCTGCATGCCGTAAAGCTCTGTTTCTGCGACCGCCCTGGCATCATCACTGACCTGGAGTGGGCCTCGGCTGCATCCCTCGCATCCGAAAGCACTCCGCTGAAGCCAAGCGCGGGGCGTCGCTTGAACGACCTGGGAGCCGGACTCAGACTCAATAACAGAAACATTCAATATGGAAGCTGTGGTCATTCTATGCTTCCCACGATCTGCTCTTGTCCTCTCTCTTGAAGGCCCACTTCTCCTGCAGTGCACAGCGATTTAGAAAGAACCAGAGGCTGGCAAGGTTTGGAAGAGCTTAGGGGGTGCTACGAGAGAAACGAAGTTCAAGGTCCACAAACCTTGCTGAGTCCATCACGATGAGCAGCTGACAACATCAGATGTCTAAGAGGTGCAAACCTCAAACCTCCACGCAATCTAAGCGCAAACTGCGAGCTCTGGCCGCAAGATTGCTGAAAGCCCCAAAAGCGCATGGAAACCCTGCGGTCCCACCCCAATCAATCGTGTGGGATGACAAAAAACTGCCCTCATCCGGCTGACGATCCAAACCAGCAAACCCTCAAAGGGTTCAAGTCCACTCAGTCGCTTCGGTCCTGGCCCTCGCCGGCTTCATCTTCGTGTACAGGGGCGCTGCTTGAGCTGCTTCCGCCGGAGCCCTGTGCAGCATTCCGGTGCGCAAAGGGCCCTCATGATGGACCAGGGTCCACCAGGATCTCAGTCGAATCTGTAGGGGGTATCTGCTCAGGCTCTAATTTGTGTCAGGTGTGTGATTGTTCAGGGGCCACATCTGCCCTTTGGAAGTTGCCCGCTTCATGAACCGCAAGTTCCGGCACTCTAAGATCTTCCGATGCAGCGGGTAATTGGTCGCGCCGATGAAAGCAACTCCCCGAGGTGCACAGCTGCCTCCTCATCATCAGCAGAATCTTCGTTGCTGGTATCGTCGTCGCTGGACGCCTCGAAGTCGCAGAAGCCCAAAGCAGAAATACCTAATTCCTTTACATATTCTTTTCGTCCCTTCTTACTGACAGGTCCCCTTTAACCCCTTCGTCCTGCAAGACCACGTGCACAGAAAGGGTGGCAACTGTCTCTAAATCTCTGGGCTTCTGGCATCTTTGTCAGGCCTTCCGGGGACCTGAGTAGGAGCGCCAGCGACCACCCACCACAGAAAACAACATCTCTCCTGCGGCTGCCGAATGTCAAGAGTCGAACATCAGAAACGACGAGTGAAAGCTGAGGAAGGAGCCGCTCTCGTTCCTTTCAACACCTCTTAGCAGCTGGGAGAAACGCGACGAATTCCCAACAGGCATCGGTACGCGGCTAATATAGGGGCCTTAATAGTTAGAATAGGGTTTGGGGCCCATTGTATCACATCTATAATGGGGAACCCCCGAAATAGTCCGCATTAATAAATTACGCGAGCCGACCTGGATCTTCCTCTGAACTTCCATCATACGGAGCTTCTTCCGCTCCTGGCACTGGAATGGAATTTCGGGGGGCACTCTGACTAGAAGGCTCTCATGGTATGCCGTATGCCTGCATGCTCATTCGTCCGCGACCGCGGCGAGTGCTATCCCGAGCGATGTTGACGGCAGCGCTGATGGCTTGCTCTCCTTGCCGAGGGCATCAGATGCCCCGCTGTCGGGGTGAGATGCTGCAGATCCGAGGCTGCAACGGGATCGCTGCGCCTGCCTAGCGACTTTCGTCCCCCGTCGCAGGCAGTACAACACTGCGGCTGCCGCCCCGATGTGCCTCGTGCGACTGGGCAACTTTTCCACAACGGACAGGACAGGGTGCAAACTGACAAGCTGGCCTCCCATGCTCTGTGCTTGGCGGTTCCTGCGATGAGCACTGGCATCTGCTCTTGCGGCAGGACGCCTGCATGAACAAACCCCAGGCTCACTCAGTGTGTTACTGTTTACAGGAAACAAGAATCGACCGCGCCTGGGCAGGAAGAGCTTTCAAATCAATTAACCTGCAGCTACCGATGCTTTGCTTCTGGCAGGTGCAAACACTGTGTCCATTTTCCCTGCACGTACTTGCACAAACAAAGACAAACATGTCAAACATGTCAGAAAGGTCCCGGCGACGGCCGCGGCACGGCGAATGCAGTCGACATGACAGCAGGCCTTCCAAAGACCTTGCTGGTTCGGTTACGGGGCCTTCGGGCCTTGCAATTGTGTGGAAGCGATTGAGGACGAAGGATGGCTTGGAGGAATTATGCCTTGCACCTTCTCGTAGTTCGTGCCACTTCCGTCAGCCAGTGTTGGACCCTTAGAAACAGCGGCTCCCACATGGAAGGGCCTGCTGCGCAACTGGAGATGCGGCGGCCGTCTGCGAGCTACTTGGGATGGCAACGGAGTCTACTAGTTCCCCGAAGTGAGCTTCTTTCGATACATGCTACATCATGCTACTACTCCTATGTGGTGCTTGTTGGCTTCAGATCAAGACTCGCAGATTGCTCCTTTTGAATCTGCTGTTGCTGTGCAAATCCCTACAAGCACATTCAACCGAGGCACTAAGGAAACGCCTGCGGAAAGGCGAGGAGATTCGCTGCCCAGTGCCAGAGTCTGGAGAACGCATTGAGATCCAGACTGAACTGAATGAAGCTTGCTATGCCCTCGACAGCTGACTTGTTGTATCTTTGCACATGGAAAACTGGCAACGCTGAAAATCGAAATCCACAACGGGCGCCCGCAGCAGGAAGATCAATCGCTGGGCACGCCGATTGGAAGAGCGAGACCAATTCAAAAGAGCTCCAGGGAGCTCTGGAACTCTAGGCGGCGGCCTCAAAAAAAGCGATAGATGGCTCGCTCTTTGCTTTGACGCATTCGCAGTTGCCGCGCCTTTTTCTTTGAGGCCTTTCCACGAACTTGCTTTGCCTTTCCGAAGTCGCTCCTTCGGCCAGCGAGCACGGGAACAGTTTGCCGGTCGCGGCGGGTCTCCGCTCGGAAGGTGTCCTTTGTGCCACCGTGCAGTTGAATACGAGGCCGTCCGAAGAAGCCTGAAGCACAGAAAACAGACGCCTTCATTTTCCGGCAGTCTTCTCACCGCCCTTACCTTGGGGTCCATCGCGAAGAAGCCGCACCGCTCGAACTGAACCTGAAGTGCTACTGAGTTTGAAGGGCACCAGGAGGCGTTCGTGTCCACACTAAGCTTTTGCTCAACGGACACGTGCAACCCCCGCCAAGCATAAACGCATCGGTGGTCTTGTGGGGTTTTGCGAAGCTGATCGTGGCGGCATGTGCTGAGGTCAAGCGCCCGGAAAATGTCCTCCCCACTCTCCTTGCAGGAACCATGACACACTTCGGCACCACATGCTACAAACTGAAGCATACATGACGCGTCCAGTTATGCAGGATTCCGGTTGAGTGTATTCGTGTTGGTCGGTAAGGTCGCACGATACTGCTCTCAAAAGCTCCAGTGTTTATGCTGTCGTAACGTTCGCAATCATGCATGATTGGACAGTTTTGGATACGAAATCTCAATCATGCATGTTGATACATCTTACACTGTCCTACACTACTACTTCGTTGCCCAACTGCTATGTGTCCTATTTCGGATGCCTCTGCGACTGTCTGAAAATAGCAGCATACCATTTTACGATTGCAGTTGCATGTCGCTGTAGTTATGAGGGTACGAATGACATCACATCGTTGCATTGGTCTGTCTTGCCCCTGGGGGCAACGAAGCCGTCGCCGCATTTGGAGCACTACAGCACCCTAAACAGCTGCCATGATTGCTGTTGATTGTGGTGCTATATGTGGTTGCTGTTTGCTGCTGGATGCTTGCAGCTCGCTTGGACGGTGGTCGGCTTGATGACGGGGACGGTGGTGACGGTGGTGGTGACGGTGGTGGTGCTGGTGCTCCCGACTCAGCGGAGCACGGCTGTGAAGAGGCTTTCCATGATAGGCATTGTAACCTCATCCAGAAACCCCTGATGTGCCGGTACGGCGGAACCCAGGCGGGCAGCGAAACCAAACAAGCACCGCTGCACCAGTCCAATGGGCTTTGTCGCTGCTGTCGATGTACTTGCTCACGTCTGTCGTTCCTCCAGTGGCGAAGGCCGGGCAGAGGCAGCCGCCGGCTTCGTCCGAGTAGACAGCTAAGTAGCCGTCGTTGGCTCTGAGCTTATTCCTGGCCGCAGCACTCGTGCTGCCTTGCTGTAAGTGGAACTCGTCAGCGGCGCTGCCGACAGCCAGTGCTGAATTTACTCGCAAAGCACGCTTGACAGCGTCCACGACAGGAGCGAGAGCAGGGGACTTGCCCTCCGCTACATTAGCTGTCCCCACAAGCCAATGTCGACTTCTGGTTTAGTAGCGGCGTGTCAGCTGCACAAAGGCTTCCTTGTTGAGCAGACAGTGGAGGTCGAGCCACACCGTTGGCGGAATAGCTGTCGCTGCTGCCGTTGCTGCGATGAGCACAATGAGTGGATAGAGGCCTGTGACGCCGACGTACGGCACAACCTGCCGCAGGAGCGAGGCAAGTCCAGGACACCATATTGCGCAGACAAGGAGGACGATACAAGCTGTATACAGGTCCAAGCCGTTGCTTACTGTCTAGGAACGCACGCACTGTACACGAGCTTATGAAGACAGCCGTCGGCGGTGCATCCCACCTCGAGAGCTGCAGACGTGTTGATACGGCCAGCTGCTATTTCCGCGGCCGCGGCTTGATATCGATCCGGTGCATCGTTGAGGTCCGTACAAGCATCTGCAGTGACATAAAGCGGCAAGGCCGCCAAGAACTCACGCACGTTGTTGCCGGCGGCGTAGGCATCCAGCAACGCAGCTGCATCTGCTTGCACACGATCATGCGCCGTGCCCTGTGACATCCAGGCCTCCAAGAAACAACGCAGCCGAAGAGACGATGCCAGGCACGGACGTCCGACTCTCTACAGGCCTCTGGCCGCGAGGCCAAACCCTCCGGCTCTGCGTGCCGCTCAGGCAGACTATCTTCAGCAAGTACAGGCCTTGTAAGCCACCTGCCTGTCGCTCTCTCGCGTCGAGGAGGCCGAGGTCGAGGCAGCGGCCCTCAGTGTTCGAGCCCTCGGACCCAGCCAGAAGCTAAAGCCTGCTCTATGTCACAGCAGGTGCGGCCCCATTTGCATGGGCCCCTTGTGTTTTGCTGCTTGTATCAGGACGAAGCTACCCTTGCAGCGAACCTATAGCAAACTTGCCCCCAGGCGCTCCAGCCGAGGCCCGCCGTGCGGCTGTTGTGGCTGAAGTGTGGATGTACTGGAACTGCCGCAGGGCGAAAGTTTTCTTGCCTGTTGGCTTTCTGGCAGCATCTGCAAGGGCACGTGCTCGGACAGTAGCTCTGGGAGAACACTCGAAGCCTCCCCGCGGCGACCTCGCGCAAAGGACGTGACAGCCGCTAGACCTGCCAGACTGCAGCTTCTGGACAAAATTCGCAGAGACCAGCCGTGCAGCCGTGCAACTCCCTGCCTCGACGTCGGAATCCAGCAAGTCGATTTCCTGTACAGCTGTCGCAGCAAACAGCCCGAAACATGCCAGCAAGTTAGACACAGACGTAGTCGAAGCCCGGCCGTGACATCCCTAGTAGAACGCACTTCCCAGGTAGCCGTCAGACTTGCGCAGGGAGCGACCGACGCCTGGTCTCCAAGTAGGCTACAAGGGAGGTGAAGCTGCGGGGGAGGGAGGATGACACACGCTTCCTGCCTGTGAAGGCGGCGGATCGCACCCTCTGTCGAGCGCCTCATTCGCTGACTCCACTGGAGTGGCTGCCACTAAAGTCACTAAAGCTTGTACCTGAAAAAAAAAAAAAAAAAGCACCACAGCGTCTAAAGAAGAATCTCACGCAAAAATCGCGTAAAGGTTGCGCACCTGGACCTCAGGCACTTCATTCAGCACGTCCTGCTTGTGTGCCTGAGACTTGGGAGGTTCAGCTGCAGCTGCGTCAGAAACCTGACAGAACCAGTTGGTGCGCGGCAACGGAACAGAGCCAGAGACCCAAGCAAGTCAGAGCAAGGCTTAGTCTGCAGCACCGTGCCTGCGGCGTAGGCGGCATTGGTTGCGCAGCCGGCATGTCAGCGGCGGGCTCGACACACTCATACACGAGCAAGCGAGAGGCGGTGTGCACCGCCACTGGCCGCGCTTTAATCACACAGACGCAGTCGTTGTAGAATCGCCACTGGTTGTTGTCCGCGTCCAGAGGCACCGCACACAGGTAATGGCCAGATCTAGGATCATATCCGCGGTGCACTAGAACCGCCCGCAGGCGATAGGTGCGCTGGTGCAACGTGAGAACAGGCTCCGGGACCACGGGCCGTGCATCCATCTGGTCAAACTCCCCCAGCATCTGCCCCTTGCGCCGGGTGCGGCAGCGTCGCTCCCCGCACGCACTGCAAAAGTCAGCGTCTGTCACATCCTCGAAATCGTGGCTGCTCTCAAGCAAGCTGCTGACAGTGCTAGCTTTGTCGGAGGGGTGTAGATCCCAGTGATACTGCGGGACAGCTGTTTCCGTTGTAGCTGCATGCTGACAGTGCAGACAGAACGTCTCAGTCGTCCACAAGCTGGTTAACTCCACGAGGTGTGCTGTGGCTGGCAAATCCAGCACCTCCTTGCTTGCAGCTAGGTCAGCACAGAGCCGTAGCACTAGCTCTGCAGCGTCGTCCTGCCGGTCGGCAGTGCGATCGATGCTTCGCAGGTATGGCTCAGCCAGCAACCGTAGATCCGCAGTAGTGCCCTTCTGGCGGGTCGCTAGCTCCACTGCACGCAAGAAGCAGAGAGGGCACGCGACTGGCCTATGATGGTTACGCGCGTATGAGCGGTAGCAATGCTTCGCAGTGAAGCAGAGCTTGCAGCGCCGCTGCGATCCAGCACGTGTTGCCACTAGGATTAGGGAATGTGCCCCGCGGCGCCGGATAGTCGAGGGCAGCGAGATGCACGCGGCCGCCGACTGGGCCTTACGAGTTTGCAAGACAGCCATGCTAGACTGCGTAAAGGATATCTCGTTAAACTACGTGGTAGTGTGGAGTCAAAGCACAGAACACGTCTAGTCCCAAGTTCTGAAACGCACCGAGCAGCTGCAGCCTGGCGTATTGCCGAGAAGCGCATGCGCGAGTCTGTTACGCTCCTGGAGGGAGCTCGTGCATGCAGGTAACTGGATAACAAGATCTGCAGGATGTCACAAATCCGCAGAGGCATCAAGCAGATGAAAGACGCAAGACCGAAGGATCTAGGGAACAAACGCGCAATGCAACAGAGAGACAAGCAACTCGAGCAGGGAAGGCTGCTTCAGGCAGCATCCCCCTGTCTGTCCTTCGCTGCAAGTGTCCAGGTCGGGTTCGTCGCCAGAAGACGAAGTAGAACACGTGTCTTGCTGCGGCGCCGCCTGTGCCATAAAAAAAGGCATAACGGTGCAGAGTGAAAGAGTGCAGCGCCAGGAGGCTTGACACGCTGTTTCAGCCTGCGCCAGGGCACTGCCCGCGTTTGGCCGCGTCGTAGCGCTGCTTTTCTCGGCGCTGACTTGCACCTGCGACACAGGGAGGCTTTTCTCCCAAGAAGTTAATCAGTCGATGAACAAGACGACTGTCGAAGAGAGGCAGCCTCCGCTTCGAGTGCAGCTCGTTCTGCTTCAGCTAGGAACCAGGCTTCCTCAAGAGCAGCGTCGTCCGCGGCCGTCCAAGCAGTCGGCAACAGCCGGTGCAAACAAGTATAAGACGCCATGTGCCGGCAAACCTGAAAGAAAGAAACAGCGTCGACGCCAAATATCTCGCCTTTGGCTGCTTTGGCTTCCTCCGTACGCGGGGGGCGGGCGAGCGACCTCGCCGCCATGCGGGCAGCTCCTGCTCAGGTAGTAAAAAACAACACATAGTCGTAAACACGGACTCTCCGCAGAAAGACGACAAAAGCAAGGCACGTCGTACTGAGGAGCACCTAGAAACGTAGCGCTAGACACGACGACCAGCCTCGCTGTTTCCAGGAACCCTGCGAGGCAAGGGTCGCAGGTCCATGGAGATGAAACCAATCTGAAAAGGGCAAGAGAAGACAGCATCCCTCCGTTCTAAGTCTGCCAAGATGACATCTAGGATGCTGGCCGGAGTAGACACTGTAAGCTTGCAGAACGCTTGCATATAGTTGTGGCGAAAGACAGGCCAGTTCCAAGGAGAAACCTTGCAAGATGCACGACAGCACACGGAAGACGCTCCAGATGAAGACATGCGCGAGAGCACACAAGCAGCCTCGAGTGTGTCGTCGGTCATGTCCGCCCAGCGAGCTGAGAGAGAGCAGGATCAATAACAATAGATACGCAACGCGTGTTTTTCACACGTGATGGCAGCAATGACACTGTGAACCGAAGAAGATGCAGCCAGAATCGCACAAGAACGAACACCCAAGAGAAAAATGACACGGCTGCAATGTATTCTTCGAAGTGCAGTAGGCGCACGCTGGACGTACTAGACCTCTACTCACGCTTTTTTGTTATGCCTAGACGCAGACGGTACAGTGCATGTTCCAGGGAGGCTTCGGACGCATGCTGCCAACAACAGACGTGTCTCAGAACAGATCAGCTTAGGACCAGGCAGCCATTCCAAGCATATCAGACAGCCAGCCTGCCAACATGGAGTGCACGGCAAGGCTGCAGCACATGTTTACCGGACTGGCCTGCCTCGGCGCAGTTCGGTATCTGCAGGCGACGCGGCAAGCAACAGAAGAACTGCGCAGAAAAGTAATCATGCATCATGCCAGACCACACCGAGGGACAAACGCGGATGATGCCCCTAGTTCAACGCGCGGAAGCTTGTCCGGAGCCAAGCAGGGCGACAGAGGTAGACACTGCCTAGAAAAGTCGGTGTGCACACATGGACGTGCACAGTGGTTTGAAGGCAAGCGACGCAGCGTTTATTGGTGTCTTATTTTATAAGGCTACTCGGCTACTCCCAGTTAAGAAGCCGAAGGTTGACGTGCGATCACTGCGACGGCGTTTGGCCGTATGTCCCTCGGCGGAACGACGTCGAGGACGTTCACGTCGACGTCATACCACGCGAAATCCTGCAAAGAAGTGACGGCACATACACGAGCGCACAGGGAGAAAGGCATTTGAGCTCTAGGCAACAAGACAGAAGTGCGCCTCAATCATTCGCCGCATACAGTCGGCGACGTACGATGGTTCCTCGCCGAAGGTGACGTCATTCCCTGGCAAAACCAACTATAGCATGCACGAACTTCGAAGCGCTTAGCCAAGAAATGACCAGTTGCAGTACGCACCGGAGCAAACGACGACCACTTTCTTGGCACCTTGGGGCAAATGCCGCCAAAGGTGCCAAGAGAAGTTGTCTCTCCCAAACCCCTGCCCCCATGCCGGACACACCGGCAGAGGGAGCAGGGACTGGGAGAGCTTCCCCTCGCGGTCTTGCTCATGGCTGCCCTGGTAACAAGCAAAAGAAAAAAGCGCTGCTACTGGCGGTCTAATCAAGAAAGCGCAGCCTGGGAAATGGCGCGCGCAACGCACAAGCAGCTGTCGCTGATGACAAAATCCGCTCCCTGAGGTCACCGGAAGCATAGACACACAGGAGAGGAACACCCCCTAAAAAAAGGAAGGCAACAACAGAAATCCACAGTCGCCACCTCCAGCGAGCGATCGCTTGGCAGAACGGCTTCATACCGTCGGGATGAAGATGGTAGTTGTCACCGCCGTTGTACGCGTGCCCTGTCCAAAACTCAAGCCCAAAAAAATGCACTCACTGAAGGCGTCGGTAGCGCAGGGTGCCCGCCTGCTGCCTGGGCATCATCCAAAATCTGCGCTGCTTCTTCGCAGCGGGCTGCGAAGTAGGGCTGCATCGCCTGGCAGTGACAAGAAGTCTACAACACAAGATGAGAAGTGCGCCTGCTGCCTGGGCATCATCCAAAATCTGCGCTGCTTCTTCGCAGCGGGCTGCGAAGTAGGGCTGCATCGCCTGGCAGTGACAAGAGGTCTACAACACCGGGAAACGGAAATGCGTCAGATGAGAGCCTCGTAGATGAGAGCGCGCGACATACTGCTAGCACGGGACGCAGGGAAATAAAGGGCAGAGCCGTGTCTTACACACGCAACTCAAGAAGGTGCTATGAGCCCAGACGCGCCGTGGGGGAAGAAGCATTCGAAAGCAGACGCTACATGTGCGAATGTCAGATGGCTCTCTACCCCCGCACCTCACCCGCATGCACACAAAAACAGGCAAACACATGGGCACACACAGACACACAGACGTAAACAGACACACCCAGACACGGACATGCACCTGGCAGAGGTTGACACTGCCTAGAAAAGTCGGTGTACACACATGGACGCGCACAGCGGTTTGAAGGCAAGCGACGCAGTGTTTATTGGTGTGTGGTTTTATTTTATAAGGCTAGTCCTAGTTAAGAAGCCGAAGGTTGACATGCAATCACTGCGACGGCGTTGGCCGTATGTCCCTCGACGGAACGACGTCGAGGACGTTCACGTCGACGTCATACCACGCGAAATCCTGCAAAGAAGTGACGGCACATACACGAGCGCACAGGGAGAAAGGCATTTGAGCTCTAGGCAACAAGACAGAAGTGCGCCTCAATCATTCGCCGCATACAGTCGGCGACGTACGATGGTTCCTCGCCGAAGGTGACGTCATTCCCTGGCAAAACCAACTATAGCATGCACGAACTTCGAAGTGCTTAGCCAAGAAATGACCAGTTGCAGTACGCACCGGAGCAAACGACGACCACTTTCTTGGCACCTTGGGGCAAATGCCGCCAAAGGTGCCAAGAGAAGTTGTCTCTCCCAAACCCCTGCCCCCATGCCGGACACACCGGCAGAGGGAGCAGGGACTGGGAGAGCTTCCCCTCGCGGTCTTGCTCATGGTTGCCCTGGTAACAAACAAAAGAAAAAAGCGCTGCTACTGGCGGTCTAATCAAGAAAGCGCGGCCTGGGAAATGGCGCGCGCAGCGCATAAGCAGCTGTCGCTGATCACAAAATCCGCTCCTTGAGGTCACCGGAAGCATAGACATACAGGAGAGGAAAAACCCCCTAAAAAAAGGAAGGCAACAACAGAAATCCACAGTCACCACCTCCAGCGAGCGATCGCTTGGCAGAACGGCTTCATGCCGTCGGGATGAAGATGGTAGTTGTCACCGCCGTTGTAGGCGTGCCCTGTCCAAAACTCAAACCAAAAATTGCACTCAGTGAAGGCATCGGTAGCGCATGGCGCCTGCCTGCTGCCTGGGCATCATCCAAAATCTGCGCTGCTTCTTCGCAGCGGGCTGCGAAGTAGGGCTGCATCGCCTGGCAGCGACAAGAGGTCTACATCACAAGGAAACGGAGATGCGCCAGATGAGAGCCTCGTAGATGAGAGCGCGCGACATACTGCTACCAAGGGACGCGGGGAAAAAAACTGCAGAGCCGTGTCTTACACACGCAACTCAAGAAGGTGCTATGAGCCCAGACGGGCCGTGGGGGAAGAAGCACTCGAAAACAGACGGCGAATGTCACATGGCTCTCTAGCCCCGCACCTGCTCACGCAGTGTCCGTGTCTGGGTGTGTCTGTTTACGTCTGTGTCTGTGTGTCTGTGTGCCCGTGTGTCTCTGCCTGCGTGTCTGTGTGTATCCATGTGTCTGCCTGTCTCTGTGTGCATGCGGGTGTCCCCCTGTGCATCTCTGCCACACAGACGCAAACATGCACACACACACACACACACACACACACAGACACACCACAGACACACCACAGACACACAGACACATTTCGACTCCCGCAGTCGTGTAGACGTGGGGATCTCTGTCTTTCAAGTCGCACGTGGGAATCTAAAAGTCTCATGTGGGCATGCGACATCGCTTTACAAGCTGCGCTACATGCGATGGTCCATAGCTATCAGAACACAGAAAGCACGCGCTGGTCAAGCACACGAACGTGCAGGTTACGACGCCGCAAACTTTTGGTCGAGTCTCACCGAGCGCGACAGCGATGGCTGTGCGCCACTGGATCGCTCATCACTGGATGTAGAGATGACGCCATCATCTTTGCTCTCTGGATCGGGCAGCAGACGAACATGTGCATAGTCCCAACCCAGGAGATTCACCTTGCAGGTCTGATAAACTTAGTGTTGATCCATTAGTTGATAATGATGGTATATTTTGTTATTCAAAAAATCCAAATTATACAATGCAATGGACAAATAATATTGAATATAAAAAAGAAGGTGTATTAAATGTATTTGGGTGATGCAAGAGTTCATGTATTTATTGTGTAGACCCGTGAGGTAGAAACAACAGATTGCTGGCGATCCAAGAAGCAGGCGGCGGGTTGAGCTCCGCTAAACGCAATGCCAAAACATCGCCGCATCGGCGCAGCCTTGCGGAGTCCACCCATGTTGGCTGGCGAGCTCGAGCACTTCCCCCCAGGGGAGCCACATGCCAACAGGGGCCATGGACAGCAAACCATACCGAAAATTGTCGAAGGATTCCATGGAGGCCATGCTTCCGTGAGAGCAAAATATCAAAGCTCAGGAGACGCTGTTTCAGGACAAGAGCAGAAGCAAGAGCACGCGGATGCTCGCCTGCCTTTTTGACATTCTTGGTAGCACTAACACGCAAGCACACCAAGCAGTCGACAAGCACGGCCACAACGCACACCGACTAGCACAAAGCCACCAGAAGAAGACAGAATCCCCACTGGCATCCCGGAAAACACTGTAAAATACACAACTTTTGTGGTTTTGCACCATTTCCGGCACAGCACAAAGCTTCTGTACGCGAAAAGCCAGCAGCACGCGAGTTCCCGGCACGGTGCTGGGCCTGGGTTTGGGCCTGGGCCTGGGGCTGGTGCTGGTTGTGGTGGCGGCAGTGGCGGCGGTGGCGCGGTGGTGTGGAGGTTGTGATGGCGGTTGTTGTCTATTGTTGTCTGAGTGCTGCTGCTGCTGCTGCTGCCGCCGCCCTTGTGATTTCCGAGTACTACTACTCCAGATTTCTAGCAAGCTTATGCTACCGTGGATATACGAGAACAACTTTGCAAACATGTCACTGCACCGCTAGCTGCATCTGGCCTTGTGCTTCTCCACCATGCCAGCAACACTCGGCTCACATCGGGCACCTCGGAAGAGTTGCTGATTCTTTCGGCCCATTCTCTGAGCTCGCGGTTGGCCGTGCCGTTAGTGGGCCAGGCTTAAAGGGACGAAGCTCGGCGAAGCACTTGCTAGCACTTCGCATGAATTGGGGTTCAAGGCATCCAGGAAGTCGCCTGCCTCCTGGACATGGGAGTTGCGAAATGCGGATGAGTCAGGGAGCATGGTTCCATATGGATATGGTGTCCTCTGGTCTTGGCTCACTGAACAGCTTGTCGTACATCCTGACGGTGACGGGTGTCGACCTTGGCACAGCTCTGAGTCCCATTGATCCCGAAGAGCCTGAGGGCCAAGCAGGGTTTTATGTGCCCAGTGGACCACCGCGACCTTCTTCGGTGGCCTGAACTGCTCAATCTCTCTAGAAGTTGACTCTAACATGATCATGGGGTCTCGCAATTCCTGTCAAATTCTCAGCTTTGGCATCGGAAGCAGGTGGGAAACTGGGCGGTGCCGACAGTTGCCGGTGAATCCTGGATCAAGCCCTATGCCGTGGGTGCGAGAGCGACGGAAGAAAGAGAGAGAGAGAGAGTCAGAGAGAGAGAGAGAGATGCAGTGAGCTGGAGGGGGCAAAGCAAGGGGGACTAAGGAGAAAGAGGAAAACTGAACGAAAAGAAAGAGACCAAGATAAATCTCATGATTCGAGTATTACAGCTGCAGCTCTCTACAGTTGAACTAACTCCGGCTTCCAACCGCTGTCAAGACATTCTCTGGGTCTCTGAGATGGTCGGAACACTCGTACAGCTACAACGCCCCTCCAAATCCCCAGGCCTCTTTCCGAGGGAGTCGGGATCGTACGAGCACCGCAGCTCTTGGATTTCGCCATCTGGCCCACGAATCACCTCGATTCTGGACACCGACAGGAATGGCGAGTAGACTCGCACAATAAACCAACGTGAATGACACCATGCCTCGTCACACTTGATGACGTATCCATATCGAAGCTTGACCTCTCGCTTTTTTGCAGGAGTCGCACTGCATCGTAATGTCTACGCTAACTTCTCCTTACTGCCATGATTCATCTTCGCTTTCCTGCAAACAACACCTGGGTTGCTAGAATCTGCTGGAATGCATGCCTGGCAGTTTGATATGACGAAACGTCCTGATCGCCCTCCAAACACTAGCTCCAAAAGGCATCACCCTAAACTCCAAGCTTAAGATCCTGAAGCCCTACCGTTCTCGAACGGGCAGAACGATGTGCACAGAAAAATCCTTAGAGGCACTCGGCCTGTCTGCCCGGCGCCAAGCGCTTGAAGCCGGGTTCAGGCTCTTCCTGGAAGTCCTTCCGAGAGCTGACCACCCGCTTTCAGCACGTCGCACATCCATGTACGGGCACGGGTATGTGTGTGTGTGTGTGCCTGTGCAAGCATATACTGACTATAGTCTATTCATCGTTATACTGAATTCTAATATATTCGCGTGTATTATGCCATGTTACACTATCATATTATACTTCATTATACCGTATTCAACTAATACTGCATGCATGGATCGCGGACATCCGCGCCACCAGGGGGAACAAAAGCTGGAGGACCAGGACACAGCCCAATTCATGGCCGAGGCCGTACCGCCAGCGGCCGATTGCAAGGCAGCTCTACTACTTTATACTTCTATACTGCGGTATACTATATTATAGCATATTATACCATGTTTAGCCATATTTGTTACTATATCACATCACACGTCGACATGTCATATCATATCATGTAATAAGATGTTCTGTTACGCTACACTGTTATAACAAACTATACTATGTTACTGTCATGTTGAAGTATACTACAGTATACTGTTGTAGTTTCCAATAGTAACGATCGTCACTTGAAATATTGCGAAGTTGATTTTGGTGCATTACGGTATGTCGCAGATTGTCGCGGTATACCTACCAAAGTATACAGTCATACGCTATAGTTGTTATAGTCTGCTTCACCATGTCTTGACAGGAGATAAGTATACGACAGCATGTTCATGTAAATCTACATTAGCTTACACTGTAATGCGTCATGTTACATGGTACTGCATCATACTATACTGTGTTCGATCACAATGACATCCACATCTACTTTCCTATCTGTAATATGTCATTGTCGTTTACAAGTATCTCACACTGAAGTCAACGAGAAACGCTTCGACCCTTCGACCCTGACCAAGCCGACCGTTGCGACCCGACCCTGTCCGATGCTTTCTTGCCCGCAAATCTCATAAAAACCACTCGCTGAGCAGAGCGATCCTCCATGTCCAGGAGCAAGTCCTAGCGGCAAGAAGGGGACTTACAGGCCCTGGGCTGGTAACGACGAATAGTTGGCACTTGTGGGGCACTACTACTACTCGCCTCTATCCGAACATGACACTGTGTAATTATATGCACTGTCTTGCGTCGTGTCTAGGTTGTGGTCTTTTGCCAGTGCAGTATGACCATATCGACCTAAGCGCCATCTAGGCTGAAGAGTGAAGCAGGGACTGGAAAGACAGTGTCCCAACTGAGCAACGACGCAGGCATGAGTCCCGACCGAAGTGCATCTGCCGCGGCATGGAATCAGAGTCGCCACCGGGCACCTCAAAGCATATAGCTCAAGGCAGGTACCCCGCAGTTGCATCGTCGGTGCCCCCCAACTAGACGGCACATTCGGCAAAGCTAGCTGACAGCCGCACCTCAATCAGCTCGTCCTGGCTTTGCAATCGAGGGTACAACACTGATTTCTTCCGACCACGCTACACATGTAAGTTGCTCGAATCAACTTCTGCTCTTTCCTCTCAGCTTCGGTCATTCAGCTGTTGCGGAACATGTGGACATCATGTGGACCGTGCCTCCTGTCCATCCGGCCAGTTTGTGATGGTGACCTGTGCACACTCTGAAGACGACGGAAGGGCCATATCAGATTAATTCTCCAGAAAGTTCAGCGTCCGATCAGCTAAGAGCCGAAATCTTTTTGGTGTGGCGCCACTGAGCCACCAGCCTGAAGTGGCCGCAGCACGCACAGCAATTTCTCGGACACCTGCTCCTCACAGGGACGAAACGAGCTTGACCCGAGCGTGGCGTGACAAATAAACACCCAAGACAGACTAATCAAGACCACCACACACAGCATGTTGGGATGCTTTGTGGGCATCGTGCCTGGAGCACGTCTCGAACGCAGTTCTCGAGGAGAGTGTACTCGATCACACTCGTAGGCACCTCTAATTCTGCTGCACAAGCACTCCTAGACGCAGTGTGACAGAGGATTCTAGGGCTGACCTGCGTCGCTCTAAGAACTCCTAGAACTCGGAGATTGGCAAGCCGACAGATAGACGGACGACAGAGCTTCCATCCTCGAAAAGTGCTTCGAGCACGTCGTGCTTTCAACTAACACCCAACTTCACGTGACATCCAGGATGAAGGATGTCAGCTTGGTCAATAAACCTCGTTGACATTACTAGTGGTCACTCGACTTAGACACCAGTGAGACCATATGTCTCCCCCGGCCTTGGTAACTCCGATCAGCTCGCAGAGCTTTCGCAGTGCAGCAGGGGGGTAACCTCGCCGCCTGAGAGCTGCTGACATCCGCCGTATGCCCGCCAGTGGCTCCCCTGATGCTGCTCTGAGTGGCTCGCCGCATTCCGGAAATGGTCGGCATGCGCGGGTCGTCCCAGCCCTCCACGTAGCCGCCCTGACCAGCATCGTATCCACAACAGAAAACTGGCAAAAATGGCTCGCTGAGTCGGGATGACACTGGCCCTGGATTGAGGAAGACACCACCCACGGACACCCACACAAAAGCCGGCCTCCACCAAACGCCTGGACTGTGAACTCGACGAAAGCTTGGACGTGGAAATAACGCAGTTTGGCTAACGAGAGCAAATTTCCATGTTTGAAGGCAAGATGAGGAGAGAGACTGTTCATTAGATTCGAGAAGTCAAGGTCGGACCTGTCATTGCATGACGGGATGGATGGGAGTCCAGTGCAGCCGAGCAGCTTTAGCTTCCTCTTCCTGGGCATATCGCGAAGACATCTTGTGAAGGTGCATGGTGCAGTTTTGCTTCAGCGGTCCGGACCAGCAGTGCTGCTAGGCTTCGAGACAACGATATGCGTCATCTCCAATCGCGCAAACTCATGCTGCCTGACAGCCGCGTTTGATTTTGAATTCTCGTTCGTCTTAGCTCTGACGCATTCGCAGGAAACTCCGCCTGGGAAGGGCAGAGCTTGGAGGCTGGCAGAGAGGAAGAGCATCGGGCAAGCTTGCCACCTTCTCATTGAACCTCGCAGAAGATTTGGCAGCCTGGATCCGATCTCGTCTCCGAGTGCCCGACCAATCATACAGTTCCTGAGCCCACACGGAACAGCCGACTACGCGACTCCCGTGAAACTGCACCGTACTACGACAGCTCCGGTTGGAGGATGTCGTGTCACTGCAGATTACAGAAGTCAGCCAAGGAATGCTCACAAAATGCATCTGAGAGTCATTGTGCATGTTGAATTCCAGCGTACAAACAGAGTGGGTGACCCCCTGGCAGGACGGTGCGGGCTTCGTCCGCTTGAAGCTTGAAAATACGAGTACTCTCTTCCTACCTCTATGGCGTCGGAAAGTCCGTGAGCCCAGTCGTAGGAAGGGTAGATCGGCCACTGCCAGCAGAAAGTATTCAGGACATGCTCAGGGGCAGTGTGCGGCCCACAAGACTCGAAACTTGCACCTCGCTGCCAGTTCGCGGATGAGGGGTGTTGGGCAGTATCCGATACATGATGGGATCCCGCCTCAGCACAAGATCGCCTGTATGCAGTGTATGCAGCTACCAGTTGCAAGGCAGAGCTACTGGTAGCAACTTCTGTGCACAGACGTGGGCAACTCAGCGACAGGCAAAATAACATTTGGATGTCCCATGTCAATCTTCGCCCGCAGCACTGCGGAACCCTCGCAACAAGCGACTGTCTCAGAGGCCCCAATACCACCACCTTTCCAACTTCACCAATAATATCCTCTTTGTCTCAGATCAGCACATGGTGCTATTTGCTGACATGGCCTACGAAAGCGAAGGCAGCTCACATGGTCGCGTATGGCCTGTTCCATTTCGCCGGCCCGCATCCGCCGGAAAATCTGGAGGCCTCAGCTTCCGAAGCTCTGCAGAAGCCCTCCCGGCTCAAAACCCGATGTGACAAGAAGGACCTCTTGTATTGTACTTCTCTACCAGCTATTTTACCCTGCTAAACCATTACACTTTGATAACAACAGGTACCACAATACACATGGTCATACCCGCTCCAGGCTGCATGTTCCTGGGAATGGTGCACGTGCGCAACAACGGATGTCGGACATGTGTTAGCTGGCAAGGTTCAAGAATGTCTTCAACGATGGTTTATTGGCTGAACGAGCAACATTTCCTTCCCTATGCAGAGTATGTGGCACCAACAGCTCGTAAACTTTTTTGAGTCTCAACACAGCTCGCTATGATGTTTCCATCCGAAACTGCTGAAGCGATACAAGCTGCAAAGCGCAGCGAACTGCTCGATCCTGTGACAGAGCGAGCTGCTGGATCTCCGCTCAACCCACTCATGTTCTTTTGTAAGCTGCACGAACAGTTCGACCTGCTTGCGTTTGTGCAGGCTGGCGTGGCTGAGGCTTTGGCTCTCCTCCGCCGGTCGATCCCGATAGGGACTGTCCTTCCCTGGCCTGGCTGGACCAAGGAAGGTTTCGATAGAGCGTAGCCTGTGTAGGGTATGTGTACAGTGAGGTTGCGTGGGGTATAGATGGCATAACTGTACAAGGACTATGTGACTAGAAGGGGAACATGACGACAGGGTTTGGGGCTGTCTTGCATCATAGTATAAACCCTTTGTGCGGACTATGTAGCGAGAACAGACTGCATATGATTCTGACACGTGGCCAATATCATCATGTATGTGATTGTGGCAATATGATGTCGTGAAAACGTGAAAACAAGAAGAAGCGTGACACAATGAAAGAACAAACGAAAGAGAAAGAGAGAGAGAGAGAGAGAGAGAGATGCGCTTCTAATACCCACCGCCTTGCCTGTGTACCTACCTACCTGCCTTCATTGGCCACTGCACACAAAGGATCCAGCATTGAGGCTTGATGCTGAGAGCGCTGGGATATGACGGTCATGAGTCAGAAACTACACGAGGACATCAACGAAGCGTCGTGTCGAATACGCAATGCTACCGTTGTCGATTTTCGGCCGAAGATGCGACTGACGAGTCCAAGCCTCGTCACAGAGCCTCGGTATTCGGAGATCTCCTGGCACAGCGGAGCGATGTCAATGTCAAACGGCGCGCCTCGCACGCTAAGCTTTCTGGCCGAACCACAGCAACTCCGGATGTCCCAAACGGACATCCGTCGACCCTGAGCCCTTTCACAATACCCCGAGCAACTCCTCGGCACTGAGCTCGTCCACATATGCCCAGCCTGCCACTAAGCAAACAGCAAACTAGTTCGGGACCCACTTTCATGCCCGCACTTGATGCCGGTGCCTTGCTCGATGAAAGCCTGACGAGCACTCGATGCGATTCCGATTGAGCACATTCGCTGCAGGCTGTCATGGATTCAGCCTCTGCCCAGGAGTAGAGCAGCGGAAAGTAGTCCGAAGCATAGCGCTCCTGACACAAACCCTTTGCAGCGAATCACTGCTATGCCAGCGTATGTCCCACTAGCTGTGCCGCGCTCCAAAGCCCTCCAAAATCCTTGACTCCATATACAGCTGCCAAGGGTCAGTGCCCTCCCACGCAAAGCCCATCCACCTGCAGGCATTTGGGCTAGGCCTAAACTCACTGCCAACAGTTCCTGTGCGATGTCTGGCAAATACCAGATTTTGCAAATGGCCAGCATCCGCCAAAAGCCCCAATATCTCAGAACATACGGGATCCCGAACTCAGCGAGCTCCCACAGATGTTCAACCTGGCGAAATAAGAGTTCTTAGCCCTGCAACTCGATACAAATAGGATTTTTGCCTTCGATGAGCAGATTACTTGCCAAGCCGGACGGGGATGATGATGACTGATAATGACGATCATGCTGGTGACGATGGTGAGGACGGTGATGACGATGACGAAGAAGGTGATGATGAAATTAATCATGGTGATGATGATGATGATGATGATCCTGATGACGACGGCGAGTGGGACCAGCAAGATTATGCTGATGTTCCGAACGCCTGTCATCGTCGCCATGCCATCTTAGCGTCGACTAGAGACCAGCTTAAATCTTCCACCGACGCGACATCCTTGTAGGCTACCTCGAAGCTCGAACTCTGAAACCCCACGGCCCTTGGCCTCACATCCTCCTGGATGCTGTCAATGAACTCCTGCTTTCAAGCAAGCTGCGCAGATCCGAGGTCCTGCAGAGCCTAAGGACTTCGACTGCGAAGACTGCAACCAACATCTCAGCATGAAGCTGCATTCCTCGCCTGCTTCTCGCTTTCCGGGTTCGTGTCATCAAATCTCAGGTTGCACTTGCCATCAAACTTCTGTGCCTCTGCGATCGAGTGAGTCGGGCAAAGAATCTGGGGAGAGTTCAACAGTGGGCTGAGTCCAGCGCGATGCCAAAATTAAGGCAGATCGACTTGACATGACCTCCAGCTGTGGGCTGTGCCAGCTCCGTTTCGTCTGAAGAAGTTTAAGAAGGCTAAGAGGCCAATGTGCAAGTAACCATTTGGCTCGGGAGGAAAGCGAGTATGTACCCGACCTGCGTGCCAGGTCAAAGCGAGACGCTGCCATTCCCAAAATAAGAAGCCGTCCAGCCTGCATACGTCTCTTTTTCGATGTCTCCCACGACAATGTCCTGCAATTGGAGTCGGCCGGGATTTTTTGGATTCTTGGAACACAACATCGGCCTCCACGAAATTGCCGGCCTCTGCAACGTCGGCGGCCTGACATGCCCACCAGCTACTCTCTCATTCACAAAGTCGTAGAGTCGCAGAGCGCCGTCTGCCTGCGCGGCCACCAGTGTCCGCGAACTGCCTGTTTGGAATCGTCCGGTGCAGCCCCCTTGGGCCCCTTGCCCCCTTCCCATGCTTGCAGTATCGCCTCGAGTGCTTCTTGCTTTTGGTAGCAAGGCACGGCAGCCGCCTCGGATTCTGCAAGATCTTCTTACTCGGAGTGCCGCCTGCCCTACGCATGTGTAACCTTTCCATTTTCGGGTGTTGCTGGCACCAAATCAACCAGTACTAGCCGACGTTCCTCTCAGCTCCTTGCCAAGCAGGAGCACCGAGTACACGGCCTGCAGGGCACTTTCGGAAGTGTAATTTCAAGCATATCATTGATTGCTGTTGCACAGACCTGCAAACATACAGTGACATACATACGTACATACAGTACATGATTTCGCACGGTTCATATAGAAGTGTTGTGTCTTATGCAGCACCTCTACGATTCTATTGTACACTGCAGACTCTGTGGACTACACGTCACTCAAGCTTCGCCTGCACAAAATCCGAACCACACTGCCTTTACTGACAGAGCCCAGATTCTGCCAAAATCGTAGAAGACCGAAAGAATCAGAAACTTGTCCTTTCCATGGCGACATGATGCTTCAAGGACTGGACTGCATCTTCGAAATCTTGAGGCTTTGACTTTGCATCCACCGACGTGTTGCTTCTCCAGGAGCACACTGATGCTCCCAGGCTGCGACCGCACCCTGAGATCCGATGTTCACCTTTTGCTACATGTTACCTGAAACGAACGATATGCAATGTGCCATGCATGTTTTGGCATCGTATATCAAACGTATATTGTAAGCACTGTAAATGTGTAACGTACGATATGCAAATCTATGCCATATGCATAGAACACAACATACCATTACAACAGATAGTACATGACATCATGCACAACGTTCAAGAACAGCATATAAGATATCATATCGGATATGGTTGGAGAACCAGACGAAGGCCTTCGTCGCATCGCCGGCAACTCGAGCAGAGTGCGAGGCGACACGACGGGGAGCCAAGCGGCTCAACCCAGCACGCTCCTTGCCACGACAGCGCACAAGTCCCCGGCTAAAAAAAGACGGCAAATATCAGAGCAACCATGAACTTAATGCTGACAGGGTTCGCCCGGACTGAGTGCTGATTTTGCACTCAGCATGTTGGGGTTCATCATTGTCACTGGTACATCCTGCACCAGTATCTTTGCCATCTTCTGCAGAGATGACATCAAACGGCAAAGCTTCTGGTTTGCTGATGCTTTGGGGCGTGCTCTTCAATATGGTGTTTGGATTATGTAGCTCAGTGATGCGCAGAAGTGTACATGAGGTGCTGCGCATCACTAGGGTGTGAGCTATGCTGTCCCCACTGGCAACACTAGGAAATCACTTCGTCCTTTCCCAGCTTGCGAACAGACTGTGCTAGCTAGACCCGATTGTTGGCATGAGCAGTCCATGAGTCTGGCACAGCGCAAGAATCGGCAGAGGCATGCGCTACAACTGGATCATGCTGCCATCATGCTGCCTACAAGCCGAGAAGCTGCAAGTAACAAGCAATCGACCGGCATTGACATAGACTTTTTGAGAACGTCTTGTAACTGAATCCTAATGGCAGTCGGCAAGAGTCAATCCACGACAAGCTTGCGCAGTGGTCGCTCCATTCTGTTGTTCTGTTGCGATCGATGCCTGTGCAATGAAAGAAACTTGTGTCTCACACGGTATCCTGCGGCTGCCTGCATGTCGAGGGAAGCCCCCCTAATATGACATGGGGAATGCCGCCATATAAACCATATAAGTAATCTTGGACCACTCGCAGCCCCGTCACAGACAGCCAACAGAAGGAAGGAACAGGGCGTTCGAGCTCCGGAAGAAAGTTGCAACCACCGCAGCCGGCACAAGGCATTGGCTTTCTGGCTCGTCTCTGGCTCTACCTTGCAAACTCCTGCTCCCACCTGCTGCTATGCTGCTACTGCTCGTGAAAATGATGACAACGGAGGTGACCATGAAAGTGCGCTCCCTGCTGTTGCTGGCTGTTGCGGTTCTTGTCGATGCAGTGGCGAAAGCTGCCATTCTCGTGGGTTGCATGGTTGTGGTGGTGCTGGTGCTCGTTGTGGTAGTAGTAGTAGTAGTAGTAGTCGTCGTCGTCGTCGTCGTAGTCGTCGTAGTAGTAGTAGGTGTAGCAGCAGCAGCTGTGTTGCGGGGGGGGTCATGTCAGCTCCTTCCTTCCTGTTGAGCCCTACCTTTCGGACCTGTGTGCAGCGAACATGGCATGCGTGCTGACCCTTGAAGACAAGTCTCCGCGACCTGAAACAATCTGGCGACATCAGTTCTTTTGGTTCGACCCGGTTTGTCACCACACGTTTTGCTTCGATGAGATGCCTCCAGCCAGCGCTTTGGATCGAAATCGGCGCATCTTTTGTCGGATAAGCGATCGCTCTCAACAAGCTCCCCATTAACTTGCACTGGGTCTGTCCGATTTTCGGTGACAGCGCAGTCTCGTTAACTTCAGACTCTTACCTTCCAAGTCCGGCTGTGTCGGGGGCCACTCTTCGGGGGAAACCGTCTGAAAGGTAGAGAGTCGGAGGCAGGGCCACTTGGAAACTGGCCCGGGCCGCTTTGTACAGTCCGGCGATCAAACGCAATTCGCTCTTCATGCCGGTGTCCTTCGGCAACCTGCCGCCCGTTGTGTTTCCAGGCCGCAGGCATTAAACGTTAACTGCGATCAGAAGTCGATGATGCCGGCCCTGAAGCACTGAACGCACTAGAAGGGCGTCATGAACAAATTCAGGCCGTATTGTCAACCACTCAGACCCGTGCAGCTCTTTCGCTTCAGAAAACTGTGCCTCCAAGCAGGCTAAACAGGTGAAGAGTCACTCCAACCTCTGTCGCTGAGTTTCACCGCTGTGTGAGACCTCGTCTTTCTTGCTCCCTTTATCCTTCTTTTTCTTCTTTTTGTGCTTGTCATTTGCACCGGCATCCTGCTTTGTTCAGAATTTAGCTGCCGAAACTATCTGATGGGGAACCGATGTGGAAAAGAACACATGCCGACGAGTTGCGTATGGATTGACATCGTCATCCATGAAAGGGTCTGTGCTCTTGCTCTTTCTTCTCTTCTTGTGCCTCATGAACGGAGCCACTTGGCCGTATACAGTGCTCTGTCTGCCTATACAGCTGGCTGCGGGGCTTCTTCTCGCTGTCGTCTCCGCCACCCTTCTCCTGACCAGGCAACCATCACACAGCGCAGGCAGCCGGGACGGAGACAAGGAGCTTCCACCTTCTTCTCCTTCTTCCTCGCTTTCTTCTCAGCTTTCTCTCGCTTGAAATACTCCATGCCTGCCACAGCTCTGGCCGCTGTTTCGGAGGAACAAGAACACCAGAAAGGTCCTCAGATGAGGCTCCCACTCTCGTACTCCTTCCCGAAGATGGTCGCCGCCAGGGTGTTGTCTTCCTGCTCCTCGCCCTCTTCTGATGCCAGGTCCTGCTCTGGCCGCTCTGGCGGAACTCTTCCCTCTACAAAGCGCCAATGGTTTGCATGGTGGCTTTTACCGAGTCTTGTTGGCAGCTTTCCGGATACCCGAGAAATGTCGCGGAATGACGGCGACAGAGACTGCGAATAACGAGAATCAGGACGGGGACGACGACGAGGACAGGGTGTAGTGCTGCTATCTGCAGCAGTTAGATCAAGCCTGCGAAGTACATAGGCTGATCTTCAAAGACGGTCACAATGCGGAGTTGCTTGCTGGTTTGCCTGACGCTAGCCTGCATCACGTCTCTGTTTTTCGGTCGTCCAGCGACGCAGAGCTAGATTCAGCCACATACCAACATACGTTAAAGAACCGCGAAAAGAAACGATGCTAAGTAGCAGGATCCCTATTTCGGGAAATCCTTGTTTCAGGACCACCCCTGTTTAAGAGACCTCCCCCCTTCGGAGTCCGTGGAAGCTCGACTTTCCGAGCTATCACTGAGCCTGGGCAGCAGTTTCCATGAAACTCTGACAAAGCTATCGGATGGGGAAGTGTGTCTTGGGCCCTTAAGGCTTGTTTTTTTTGGGGGTGGGGTGGAGTCTTCTGGGCGTGAGGCTTCATTAGAGTGTTAAAGTTAGGGCAAGGTTTGGAAAAGATGGTCCAGAGGTGACCTGCCCGCATGGCAAGTAGCACTTCATGCCAGACCGCCCACGCTGTACCGAAGAGACATAATGGGGCCCTAGCCCCTGCTCATTGAAGTTGGCAGTCAAGTCCATCAGCTTGAAGGCAGACTGGTACGCCGGATGGACCTCTGTGTTCTTTCAACAAAGTGAGATCTCCGAAGCTTCGCTACGGTGGCTTCCGTTCTGACGGCAGATGCCCACTTTCCACAAGTCTTCTCGGTTTCCCTCCCTGCTAAGGACCCGAGAAACGAAATGGACATCCGAACGGCTTTCTTTGCTGAGAAACGTACCCTGGGCTGATAGGAAGGCACCAGCTTGCGCTGCATCCGTGCCTAGGACCCAGAGGGCCATGGGACGCTCTGACTTTGCAGTGTTTTTGCTTTACACACCTAAACTCTAATGGAGCCGCTAGGCACTGTTCAGACACTGCTTAGGGTAGTCTGAAACTTGCCCTGGCCCTAGCCTCGTTAACCGTTATCGCTACTGTGAGGCTAGGAATCCTGCCTGGACAACGTCATCATAGAGGTAGCCGGTCTGAGCCCGGGCATAGCTGGTGTATGGGGCAAGCGGAGGGGGAAGTTCTGCAACGTGAAAGAACAACATCGTGGAACGAGAGCTGCGGCCTTTGACCGACAGCGTCTGCACAGCACCAGCAAAAGCGACCTGCTTAGCACGGGGGATGACAATCTAAAAGCTGGACCTCAGGCACTCTCTGACTCTGCATGCTAGCGTCAGCATTATACGAAGCTTCCGTCGATGTGCTGCAGCATTTCGTGACGTCACACGATGTTGTACGTACAGGCATGGCCTCAAGATGGTGAGGTTCGGCAAAACCAGCAGGCAGCCGACCTGGGCAATCATCGCAGAAGCCACGCACCCTACAGCAACTTCTGCCCCTTTCGTGCAACACTGACTCCACCGGACCCCCCTCCTGTAAAGTCCCTTTGGGTCCCCGACCGCGGAGAGTCCCGGGAGGAAGCCGAAGAACCAAGCGGTCGGATCTCAGAAGGCTCGGTTGAATCGTCCCTCGTTTGGGTGGGGGGTATCAGTCGGAGTTGAACTGACAGAACCCGCACAATCTACAGGATTCAACAGGGGACACGGACCGACGCTCTCAACGTTTCCATTCCTAGCTGGGCCCTTCGCTGCAGGTTGGGTTGACGAACAGCTCGAACATCCGGAAGTTCTCCCTGCTGCACTGTACGATTCTGAAGGGAACGAACTTGGTGCCCACTCTTGTCGCTGCAATGCTCAAGGCCACTACATGAAGTACTTTTCCCTGAAGGTGTTGACGTCGTCTTCAGAAAAACTGCCTCAAACGGCGTCTCAGAGTCTCTGTCTTGAAAATTGAGCATCGCAAATTGCCGCATCAACTTTTCCCGCTCGAGCTTCCGGCATCCCGCCACATCTGACACAAAGAGGACCCTGGGCTCACTGGGCTCATGCCATGGCTCCGCATCTCCTCATGATGTGTAGTATGGTGGGTTCTGGCAGGACCCGGGCGGATCCACCCACACAAGGATGCTGGCAGCCTCGCCCATCCATGGCCCAAAACTGCCCACAAACTTCTGCAGATGCAGTCAAACGAGAGCCCAACAGAGCGGAGAACCAATCCGAGCAGCAAATGGTCCACCTGGCCATGCGGATCGGGCACCAGATTTCCACGGGTTTCTTGCAGTATCGGGTCTTGTCAAACGAGAAGAGGGCTGGGTCATGCTGAGGCACTGCGCACTCGTGGTTCGCAGACGGCAACAGCATGCATTCAATTGAGGTCACTGCGTCAGGCTGATGAGCCAGCGACCCATTCTGGCCCTCAAGATGCCAAGCGCACGCAAACACGGGCAATCGTCTCGTCGAACATGGGAGGTCGTCGTGAGTGGCGTAGGAACACATACCAGTCGACCAAATAACCTCGCGAGAGATAGGCGATGGGGGGAGGCGTGCTTGGGGCAAGGAAGATCGTCTCCGTAGCATCGAGCAACTTCTGGGCTCCTACAGAAAGCTTCAGAGAAGCAAGCGACACGCTCCCAGCCCCTGACGGGTGAAGCAAGAAGCAGCAGCGAGAACATTCCTGAGGGCATGAGCCAGCTAAACAAGGTAAGCTGCAATCTTCCGAAAGGATGCTTGCTCGTTCATCAGCCTGTTTTGCAAGGGTTGTCGCTTGCAACAAACCGGAACGTCGGCACCAGACTGCGAGGAGCCGAAATGAACTTGTTTGGTCTGTCTCAGGACATGTCAGGCCCATTGAGGTTGGATGAGCTTATGTAGAAACTATGATCGCGGCATGCCCAGTCACGAGGCTGCGCGAGGCAACATTGCAATCTTCTGTGCAAGTCAATACTGCGACATAAACATCATATACTAGTATTCTCTACCCATTTGATCCAACTTGTAGACCCCACACGGACCCGAGCTGGATGCAAGCAATGGTGAGCTGTGAGCGTTGAGCTGCGCACAGCAGCGGTAGCGCCGGGCCGAAGATCATGGCAAGGCTCGCAGTGACAGCAGTCTCTGCCTAAGTTGCAAGTCCCTCCAGGCCGCCCCACCTTGCTGACGGTCTCTCTGGCTTTGACAAAAGATAACGGTGGAAGTGTGGGCGAAAGAGTGGGCGTGATGAAGGCATGTTGCCAGCGACGCTCTCAGGCGCCAACGAAACCTTCTGCCAGCCGGAACCTCGTTGTGCGCTTCTGACACCACTGTATTCTGGATGTTTTAAGAGCTGTGGACCAGCAACACAAGGCTCGCACCATGCAGCACGGAAGGGCGAGAAAGCTTAGGAAGGTTTAGGAAGGCTTAGGCAGGCTTAGGCCCTAAGGCCAACATCCTCCAAAATTGAGCCCCGAGCTCTGGATTCACGTAGAGGTTCTTCAGGTCCTCCTGTTGACAGCGAGTCTTCACGCTGCACCCTGAAGATCCTGAAGTCTCGTGCGAGCCTGGCTGATCGTCTTCCGGGCCTGGAGTCGACTGGCGATTCCCCCGCCACCGTCAAAAAGCGCGTAGCTGGCCTTGCGCCAGCGGCTGCAGCGGCGGCATCCGATGGCCAACAGGTCGGGCACCTGAAACCAAGAGCGATGAGAGTGGAAGCTGGGGCGAAGATGGGCGAAGGGCGCTGACAAGTGTCCCTGGTCCTGCCTGAGGAATCACCACGCGGATCCCCATGACGAGTGTGATGACGCATCCCACCCAACCATGCCATTCCCTGCAGAAAGGCGGCTGTGACTCGCAAGGCCCTGAAGAGCTGAACAAGAACAAGCTTGAGAGCGTGGCCGCATGGACATTCCACCTTTCTAAGTCTCGCATGGTTCTCTTCAGCCACACACATCCTCATGTGCTCCGGCCTACGTCCGTCCCTTCAATCTCCAGGGTTCGAAGGAGCCAACCCCAGAAGGCCTGGGAAAGCTGTAGCTGCAGCGCTTGGATTCACAGGCTGCTTCCCCAAGTTGAAGCTCTAGGAGAGACAGCCCGGGCTTGGGCCTTGGTTATCCCGAGCCCCACCGAGCTCCCGTGCTGGGATGGTGCAGCTGACGAAGGCCGGGATCAGGGCAGAGTTCAGCAACCTGGTCACTGCTCGGGTTGTGGCACAGACTGGTTCCTTGCCACGAAGAAGACTCTGAGGACCCCACCAAAACCAGAAAAGGTTCCTAGCAAGAGAGGTGGTCATCTATGCGCGATGCACCAAGCACTCCGACGACCCTGCGGCGACAGGCCTGAAGTGTCGCACAAGCCTCGTAGTCTCATCCTGCAGCAAGCCCCCACCCCCCGTCATCTAATCTGCGCCGTCCGATGCTCGACCTTGTAGCGCACGGAAGTGGAGGTTCCACGTATGAGCGCCTTAGGGTGCACGGCGCCGACAAAACATGTCCTGACGAGAGGGAGTCTGCCTCGAAGAGTTCGTTGAAGAGGACGATGATGCCGACACGTATCCAGGACTTGGTCGTCTCATACTCTCGTTTTCTGTCATCTTCCATCTTCCAAGATTGGCTTGAGACGCAACTTGGTTCCCGGCTCGGTGATAGTTGCCCTGCGATATGCCGATGTACTCTGTGCCTTTGGCTTGATAAGCTCAGCTCCTGGGAGCCTCCAGAATTCCCTGCATACTTGGGCACTGGCACATCGTAGCCCGCTTGTCCGTGTCAGCAAGCGCCAAGAACACCTCTGAGCTTCTCATCTACGCATGGCCATGCGCGCGCACATTAACTATACACCGCAACCTCGGGCTCGAGGTACATGCGCTGCATGCAGTAGCACCTGGTCATACACACACCCATGTACTCGATTCTTGTTTAATCGAAAAACGGCTACCGAACCCCAAGAAAAAGCTGGAACATTGTGCATCCATGCATGCACATTCACAAACATTCACATACATGTGGCAATTTGTAGCTGAACATCTCCCTTTCGTTAACCAACCGAGCCCTGCGCTTCACTACTTTGGAGGCGTTGTCCGCATTGTACGCCATCTCTGCTGTGGCCAAGCCTGGGGCAGGGAGCGCCGACTTGGTGGCACCTCGCTTTCTGCAACACTTTCCCACACTTGAGCAAAGCTGCCAATGATCTCGTGATTCTTCAGGTTTGGCCCCACAGCCTTGGCATCTCCCAGCAATGCTTTGAGAGAGGCAGGCGGCTTAGTGATTCTTGAGCCCCCCGCACAGCGCAGGGAGCCAAAGGAAATCTGGCCATTGGCATTGTCCACCTCCGTCCGCATGAAAGTCCTGCAGGACAAGCAACATCCATCCACATAATCCCAGGCTGCAATCGCGTCTAAGCTCTTTCTGGGGGTGCAGGATCAGACCAGACTTCATGCATGAAATCTGGCACAACCAGCTCGCATCAAACTTGAAGGCCCCCCTGAGGCTGCAACGGATTCTCCAGGTCGATCTGGGCTCATGGACCGGGGTCCGGGCACAAGGTATGAGACATTTGGGACTGCCGCGCATCGACACAAAGTGTAGGGATGCTCAACACCAGAATAGCACCAATCACATTTTGAGAGGCGGACAGGAGTAGCATTGGTCGTGATCGTCGCCATGTACCTGCAGCAACAAGACTCGCATCCTCCGAGATTCTCGAGATGAGATGGCAGCGACAGCGGCCAGCAGAAGCTGTGCTCGCAGCACACAGTTTGAAGATGGCTTTCGAAGGGGCCTCGAGAAAATGCAAGCAGGTCAACTTGCTGTCATCAGAGATGTCAGACATAACTTCGACGAGTGGTTCGACGACCACCCCAAGGAACAAATGATGACATATGGTGACGACACTGAGGATGATGACGATGATGATGAACATGAAAAAGACGGAACAGCAGAAGATGGTAATGGTGATGACGATGACGACGCCGACGATGATGCTGCTGCTGGTGGTGGTGGCGATTGTGGCAGCGGTGCTGGCGGCGGCGGCGGCTGCAGCAGTGGTGGGGGTGGTGGTGGTGCTGGTGGTACGCCCGTGACGCTGCTGCTGCTGCTGCTGCTGCTGGCACTGAAGACGACAACGCGAGAATACACGAGAGGCGACAACAAAGAGATGAAAGACGATGAGAATGATGACAGAGTCGACCGGAAAGCTGACAAGAATAGCCGTACGTTGGTAATCGGCCATGCAAGACGTATCCATACTCATGCAGGAAATTGGTCCTTCCCAGGGCGTGTGCCAACATCCAATGCGCCGGGGTCCCTGCGAAGCCACGTTGCTGCCGTTAGCCTGGGCTGGAGATTCAGGTTTATCCAAGCTTTTTAGCCTCTAACCCTGAACGACTCGACAGGTTGCGCTGTCGTACTCGAGCCACACGAAAAGGTCACTTTCGTGCTGAACCAAACGACTACTTGTACAGAAATGCAACAGGCATGCACACAATGACAGAAGAAGGGTGATAATATCATGGCGACACAAGATTCAGTCGACCCAGTACTGCAACCATCTTCTCATAGGAATACTGCACGATACGCTACAACTAGAAGCACAACGTGCTGCGAGAACATATGCCCTCACGGTAAGGCAGTAACGAATGTAATCATGACAATTCATGCTTGAACAATTGCTGATATCAAACATCTTGCAGTCCAAGATTTCATGCATGAAACTGCTAATCGTGCAATCGAAATCTTCATCGGGTGCTAAGCCCGAAACATCCCGAAACTCTCGACATCCGTTTAGACCCTAAACCCTCAACGCCTATGCCTGGGCCTAGACCTCGAGACACTAAATCCCCAAGCAACTAGAGCCCTAGACCTTGCCTTGGCCACGTCCAATACCTGCGGAGTGACTGCCTGCAGCCATCGGGTGGTCCGGATAACTCTGTTGCATCTACGACCTCGCCCGCAACAGTCCATGCAACACGTCCTGTTCCAGTATCTGGGTTCGCACGACCCTGATGCCTACATCAGAAGGTGAAGATTCATCGCTAGCACCACTATCGAAAACTTTGTGGCACAAACGTCGTGCTGTCAGGTCTTGGGTGCCGATTCGAGCCATTCCCTCGATGACACGGAAGCAGTAAAGCAGTCTGATTGAACCACGCACCGGGACCCTTCTTAACTCTAAACATTGAATTAGGAGTCGCTGGCTGCATGGCTCTGGAAGCCACATGTCGTGTGGCAACAACTGGCTAGTTGCCTCGCATGATTTGCGCCGTTACTGCCCCCGTAGTTCTGTTACTGGGAACGCTTCTCCTGCTCTCTTTGCCTCGCCTCCACAGAACAAGCCATCAGCTGAACTTCCGGCCTGAGTACTCAGATCGGGAACCGGGATAGAGGCGTCGATCCAGTAGGTCTCAATTTTTGATCCCTCTCAATCTTGTCAGGATGTTGTGTTTGTTGGCTCTTTGGTTTCTGATCTCATGCGGCGTCTCGGTGCGCCACGAGACCACGCCGTCCGGCTGCGCCAGCTTCGCGCACTTGATCTGAAGCGGGGCTCCGCGATGTGAGAGGCACCCAGGTATCGCAACGTCTTCTCACTCTTTGCACCCCTCGCCTCTGTGGAGTCGAAAAAGACCTCAGAAGCGACTCTATCTCTCTCATGAGTCTGGGTAAGGGTGGCTCGTAGAAACTGGCAGTTGCATTACGATCTCCCATAGTGAACATGATTGTGGTTCGCGCTTCTGTAAAAACATGTAGTGCTGTCACACTCCACTGCTATTTTCTGATTTCTTTGCCTGCTTCCACTACGGCTGTTGAAAGGACTGGTAGGCCTAGAATCCTAGCATGCCATATTCCGCTAGTCTTGCGAACGCAGTCGAATGCCCTCATGCCCAATCGGTTCTCTGGGAGACTCGCGGCAGCCACCCAGGTCGCCTTGTCGGAGGAGTTGCTGTCGTCCGACCTCACGAACGAAAATTGACCCAAACTTCTCTGGTCTGCCAAATCTTGACAAAATGCACGGTTCTCCGGGCACGCGGCTCTGGCAAGACCGGACAGCCTCGTGATGTCGGGCGGCAATTTGAGAATGTCAAACAATGCTGCTCCAGCATCTGCCTTCCTCATCCTCTCCGCCAGGGCAATCCTGAGACTCAGCTTGAGCACATCTGCCCTCATGGTAGAGAAAAGCGAACCTCTGGACACAAGCCTCTCCCAAGCTCAAAACAACCCCAAACACAGAACTCGGCGCCTGCACGCCATCACATGTTCGCGAGATCGGGACACACCTTCAGTGCGTGGTTAAAGCCACAGCCGAGAGCAAGCAAGCCCACCTGAAGTCTTAAACAGCCCGACAAATTGGCCGTCCCACAGAAGCTCAGGCACGGGCACAGTGCCTCAAGTCGTCATAGGGTCACATGCAAGAAGCGGCTGAAGCTGTCATCTTATAGTATGTCTCCCTCACTTGCATCCAGGCGACTATTGCAAGGAAAGCCTGACTGCCCAAAGCATGGATCATCCCCTGCGACTGTGCCATTTTCGTTGACCTCGCCGCATCACAGAACTTAAAGCACAGAGTCGTCTTTGAGTGAGATCGTGTAGGGTGCGGGCACTTGTATCAGTTGTTGACAGGTTGCCTCGGCTTGGACACTGTGCCGGCGACAAAGGACTGGTGCGGCACTTCTGCAACTGAAATGTTCAAGACTTCACGACACGGAGAGCACTTCCTTGCAGGCTGGATCCAATACAGGCAAGCTGCGCATTTGCACACAAGCCGCCGTTGTGACCTTAGCTGGGCACCGGGGATGTCTCTTTCTGCAAACCGCCATCGCAATTGTGTTGGTGCGCGGTTGAGGGAAGATGAGAGAAGGATTCTTCTGCGTGGCAGCAAGCATGAGACCAATGGCCAAGGAATTGACGTTTCTCTGCAACAGCACGCCCCAAACATCCTGCGATAGCGAAATCGCATCTTAAACGACCACTATCTCTCCGGTGAACCAGACTTTATCAAACCTTCTACTCGGTATGCGCACGCTCACTGGCATTGCGCATTGCTGCACGGCCTCGTCCGCACCGTTCTCGCAGTCCTTTTCGCATCACGACACGGAGAACACCCTCTTTCGGCCGCGGAGATCGCTCTGAAAAACACGCCTTCACAGACGTCTCGCCCTAAAGCCTACAACGGACCGGGTCCTGCCATCCATCGCACTGGCAGGATCCAGCGGGACACAGAACGCAGACCTCGTCTGAGTCTGGCACTCGTGCACCCAATTTGTGTATGTTGAATAGCTGAATGCTCACTGGGCCACGCCAGGGGCGCACTCAAACTCTGCATCGCTGCAAAGTTCCGGTTCCTGGATGAGGCAGCTACGGCAAAATTGAGACCACCATTCCAATCAAAGTACGTAAGTGGTGCTGCAAGTTCGCCATCAACCAAGGTGCCTCATACGTAACACTGGTCAGCGCTGTGCCCATGATGGCATAGCTAATGTTGGAGATCAGGGAGCTGCTCACCTTAGTACGTGAAATGCTGTCGTGGAAGTGAACACTTTGGCAGGTGTCTGGTTCTTCCTGACTTGGCGGGAACAACACCATGCCAGGTATCCGCAATGTGGATCTGTGCTGCACTACATCGTGATGACTCCGTCGACGCAAAGGTCGCAAAGATTCCGGCCTCCCTCTCACTGAACACGATCACTTCCACGTCAGGTACCTGGCACTTCCGCTTCAGGCACCCACCGATCAAATTTTAGACCACATGTTTTTTTGTGGTCGCCTATCCCCACCTGATGCCTGCGGCGCAGATCAATGCTAGTTCTTTGGAAGACCTACATTCTACCGTTAAGCAGCAATGAAACGTCGATCCAACAGGAATTGTGATTGTGATTGACTGCTAGAAACAGCAGCAAAGAGGCTTTGCCACCGCTCCAGACTAGACTATTCCGATGCGAATGAGGACGAAGATAATGGCAGTCATGGTGATGTGATGGTGATGGTGGCAATGACGATGATGACGAGCACAATGATTTTGACGTTGATGCCGACAACGACGATGTCAGACTAACAGTGAGCAGAGTGCGAACAGCGATTGCGAGGAGAGCAATGCCGGCAATGTTTGCTCCACTCCTAAGGGGCCGCCACAGGATGGAATGGACCCTAGGAGCCACATTGAATCACACATCAGGCTGCAAGCTTATTGCACTCGCGACAGCCCAAAGCAGTCCGATAAGCTGAAGCGCGTATGGAACCTCTGTCGTCATGTCGGAGAATGTCACATCCGGAATTGTCTCCTGGCATCAGGCGCTACGCCATGCTAAGCCCGGGCTTGAACCGAAGTCTTGGCTACAGTCGCTGTTGTCCGACCAGTAGGCCGATTCTCAAGATTCCTGTTCCGCTCACATGCCGTCTGATTAGTTTACGTATCTTCGAGCTTCTGTCCTGAGACACGTAGGCTCCAAGACTGGCCTGCAGCCTTGCAGCTGCCTGGAAAGGCAGGGACGCGCCAAGTCTCCGCTGCAGCTGCGCGCTGAGACGCCAGCTGTTTCCAGGTCCTACAGTGCCAGGCCAGCATGCTAGAGAGACCAATTGAACCATGAACTCTGTCATAGCTGTGAACGATACTCAACTGTTGTCCACGTCCTCCATGCCAGTACCATCCGGCGTTGCATTTGCCTGAAATTGAAATGCATTGCCGCAATAATGACTACGGCTCCAAGCTCCAGGAACACAGCACGAACATGTACAATGTCAAACTGAAATTTCAAGACATCCAGCATCATCCAGCTTCGTCTTGGGACTTGGCGGTGATCGTCAGAGTCTGCACACCACCCGCTCCGAAGATCTCGGCAAGGGTGGCTGCGGGTTTGCGTTCAGGAGCTTAGGGAGCTGGGTGCTTGTAGTGTACGGCTTAAGGTTTTGCCGGAGCCCACTATCTACATGCAGCATCTGGGAAGACCCTGAAGTCGGGCATGGCGTTAACGAACTCCATGCGCAACAAACCATGTGAGCCAGTACTCATCCAACAATAGGTACAGCATTTTCAATGGCTATTTAGCAGCAACTGATGACACTTGGTGTCAGTGACAGCATGAAGACTAGCGATAGTCAAACCAACAGCAAGGGTGAAAGTAACGCTGACACCAATCCCGGCAGTCGTAAGCCGGCTTGCACTCACAATCATGGCTTTCGTCATCCCCACCACCATGACCCTCCACAGCCACCATCACTTCAATCATGCACACGGTCACCATCGCCATCGTCGTCGGCGCCAGCGTCACATCATCACCATGAGCACTGCACCAATATTCCCAATCAATCAAAGACTAGCTATTCGGTTTCTAAGCTTGTTAGTGCTACACTTGGTCAAAGCCAGAACCCACAGTTCTCCCTTCAATCTGAAGCGAGCAGGAAATTGCGGGCCAAGACTTGGTTTATTGAGCCATTACCTTTTTCTCAAAAAGAGACCGAAATCGAAATGCACAAAAGAACCTGCAAATTTTCGAACTGCTGACACAGCCTACAAGAACCAACTAACTCATGGCGTGCAAGGAATATACAGGTTCTGCACAAGCTTGCCTGGCTAGTGCTGGGCGGAGATCCAGCAGCTTGCTCTCATAGGGTCGAGCAGTTCACTGCACTCTGAGGCCCGTACGCCTTAGGAGTCTCCGATGGAATCATCCATAACAGAAATTTGTTGAAAGGCAACTAGCTCGTGAGCTGTTGCCAACTGACATGACATTTGTCCTTTAAAGCCATGCTGTCCTCGAAACCTGGATACCAGTATGGGGCTTTTAGAGCAAGAAGGTTCGGATTTGCAGAATTTACGAGTTCTTGAGAGTCACCGGACCGTCTTAAGCCAACCCGGACTCTTAACCCTAAACCCTAAGCCCGGAACTTCTTAGCCATAGACCTTAAATCCCGGACACTCTTAGACCTAAACCCCAAGGGCTGCAGGTTTCAACCCTTTGTTTGGGGGGTCAGATTGGGGTCAGGGGGGTCGCCGACGAGTTTGAGGGGTCAGATTGGGTGTGGGGGGTGGCGTGCGGGGGTCTGATTGGGCTGTGGGGGGTCAGATTGGGCCGGTGAGGGGTCAGATTGGGGGTGGGGCCTCGGAGAGGCCTGAGGGGTCAGATTGGGGTAAAGTCCGGCCCCAGTCGCAATTCGACGGCATAGGATATAGTAGAATCCGGGCGCGACCCTGGAGTGACGTTCGAAGCCAACATAGCGGCGCGAGCGAGTCGGGAGAACTCCGGCACAGGGCCTACACTTATCAAGCTTAAGCACACGCAAGCCACAGACACGTCACACTCATGCACACGCAAGCAGTGACGCGTCACACGCTCTGTAGAGAGCGCTGCAGTCTTAGATAAAACACGGACAAAAAGGCTACTTTGCTCGATTGCACACCAATTGACACGCATGCTCGCAGCTTCCAGAACCGTTTCGCACTGAACACATGGCACATGTGCGAATGCTAGAAAGCTGTCTAGTCTAGTCCTGCACCTGCGATGGCAGCGACGCACAGGGGGACACCCGCATGCACGCAAACAGAGGCAGAGACATGGACACAGACAAGCCACAGGCAGAGACACACGGGCACAAAGACACAGAGACACAGATGTAAACGATGTAAACAGACACACCTGGACTCGGACATGCACGTGGCAGAGGTAGACACTGACTGCTTGGAAGCGTCACTGTACTCACCAGGACGCGCACAGCGGTTTTGAAGGCGAAGCAACGCAATGTTTCTCGGTGTGCAGCTTTCTTTTATAAGGCTAGTCCCCCTCAAGAAAGCCGAAAGTTGATGTGCAGTCACGGCGACGGCGTTGGCCGTATGTCCTGGGATGGTACAACGTCCAGGACCTTGACTTCGACATCGTACCACGCGAAGTCCTGCAAAGGAGGGGAGGGCACTTACAGGAGCGCAGAGGGAGAGAAGAGATGCATTGGAGCTCGAAGCAGAGAAAAAAGTAGCCCGCCTGAATCATGCGCCGCATGCAGTCGGCGACGTAGGAGGGGTCCTCGCCGAAGGTGACATCATTCCCTGGCAAAAGCAAGCATAGCATGCACGAAGGTCCAAACACTTATAGTCCAAGAATGTCAAGCTGCAATACGCACCGGAGCAAACCACGACAACTTTCGTGGCACCTTGGGGCAAATGCCGCCAAAGGTGCCAAGAAAAGTAATCTCTCCCAAATCCCCGCCCCCATGCCGGACACACCGGCACAGGGAGCAGGGACTGGGAGAGCTTCCCATCGCGGTCTTGTTCATGATTGTCCTGCTAGCACACAAAAGAAACCAAAAAAAACAGAGCGCGGCTACTGGCGGTGGAATCGAGAAATTGCGGCCTGGGACAGAGCGCGCACAGCACACAAGCAGCTGTCGCTTATCACAAAATCCGCGCCATGAGGTCACCGGCACCAGAGACACACAGGAAAGACCAGAGGAGAACCCCCGCCTAAAACAAAACCAAGGAAACTAGAAACATCCACGGTCGCCGCCTTCAGGAAGTCAGCAATGGCGTCGCAGAACGGCTTCATGCCGTCTGGATGCAGGTGGTGGTTATCGCCACCGTTATACGCGTGTCCTATGCAACAACTCAAACCTCCAAAAGTGCATTCACTGACGGCGTCGCTGGGGAAGGGTACCCGCCTGCTGTCTGAGCCTCACCCAAAATCTCCGCTGCTTCCTCGCAGCGGGCTGCAAAGAATGGCTGCATCGCCTGGCAGTGCCAAGAGAATTACAAGACAAGGAAAGGACGGAAAGGCGCTAGATGCGTGCCTCGTAAATGAGGGCGCGCGACATCGTGTTAGCGCGGGAGGTAGGGAAGTAAAAGGCAGAGCCGTGTCTTACACACGCAACTCAAGAAGATGCTTTAAGCCGAGACGCGTTGTGTGGGAAGATGCACTCGAAAACAGATGGTACATGTGCGACACACACCAGAAGACACAATCACATGTCGACTCCTGCAGTCGTGTACACGTGGGGATTTGCGTCTGTGAAGTCGCACGTGGGAATCTAAAGTCTGATGTGGGCATGCGACATCGCTTTACAAGCCTCGCTACATGCGATGGTCCGTAGCAAAACACAGACTGCCCTGGTCCAGCACACTAACGTGCAGGTTGCGACGCCGCAACCTGACCAACGGACTTCGAGCAGAGTGAACACATGCGGCCATATGCGGCCATGTTGGTCGAGTCTCACCGAGCGCTACAGCGATGGCTGTGCGTCACTGGATCTGAGGCGTAGCCTCGTTGGGTGCAAGCCCTCTAAACCCTAAACCGCAAACCGTAAACCCCGGACCCTCTTGATTTTAAGCTTTAACCCGCGAGCCCTTATCTCTCAATCCCGCCCCTTTAACCCTAAACCCTACACCACAAACGCGTCTTAACCCTAAACCCTAAATCCCTGACCCTGATAAACGTTATAACCCAAGCCGGACCCCTTTTAACCTTAAAACCCCAAATCCCGAACCCTCTTAACCCAACCCAAAAACCCCAGACTCCCCTTGACCCTAGACGTTAAAGCCCGGACCCTGTTGACCCTCAACCCCAGGCCCCAGACCTTCCTAACCTTAAACCCCAAATCCCCCAAACCCCAAACTCTCTTAACCTTAAGCCCGAAGTTGAGACCATCTTAGTCCCAAGCCTTAAACTCCAGACCATTTTAACCCCAAGCCCTAAATCCCAATTCTGGTTGTTAACCCCTAAACGGGAAACCCCAGACCTACTTAAGTCTAAACTCCGAACGAGGAGTTTGGTCAGAGCAACCTTGCTCGCAACCTCCAAGTCGCAAACGGTTCGATATGTTCCATACAGTGCACTTGCCACGTGCATCCTAGATCTGGTAATCTGCACCCTGGAGCATACTGTCTCGGCCGCTTGGCTATGATCAAGTGTAGTATCTGTTCTTATCAGTGTGACAACTGATATGTCTCCAACTGCAGACTTGCTTGTCACATCTATTTTTGCTGGGGAGGTGTCTTCATGAACTCGCTCAGAAGCCAGAGGAAACCCCATGACAATAGCGGCGACACTGACCATAGGGATAGTGATGATGACGATGAAGAAGATTATCAAAACAACTTGATTTTGATGATGATGGTGCTAGTCAGGGCAGGGAGTTGCAGTGTGGATTCGAGCCCGCGGCCAGCAAAGGCGATGTCCTCACCTGCCCACGACAGTGACGACTACGGCGGCAGTTGCCAAAGATGCTTCCAAGTCAATTGAGACAACCCTCGCTACTGCTCGAAGTTTCGGAATCGTCTATGCGAGGCAGTTCGCGAAATCTCCAGGCACCGTTGTGTGGCCTGCAGTTTGCCAGGAAAACTTGGAGTGGTCGTGGTCGTCGTATTCTCTTCCGGTGGTGACCTGCAGCTTCATCTTATGGACTAACCGTGACTAAGTGAACCCGGAAGCCGAAGTAACAAGCCCTCAGATGCCAGCGGGGCCAGGTCGGTGGTCTCTTCATCGGAGATGTTTGTGAAGTTGCCGTAGGTGGTGGTGCTAGACGTTGTGGTGCTGGTGCGGGTGACCTGGACTGTACTCCACGACGCAGAAGGAACATCGAACAAAGTACAAGACAAGCTTCTGAAGGGACTGAGGAAAAGGGAGTGGAACCTACCTATAGCTTCACAAGCCCTGCTCCGGTGGCGCCCAAGCTGCTGTGGTCTGGAAGTTAACCTCCTCTCAGGGAACAAAACGGCATGGAGCACGTGTCTCGTCAAGAGTCCGTCCGTCCGTCCTGCTTCAAATATGAGCTTCCACCGTTGTGTGCACTGACGAGGTTGTCGGTGACCTCCCACATCACAAGAAACGTGCGAACCACAAGATCTACGCCGACCACTAGCCGGTCCTACCCAGGGTCGAGATGCTCGACATGCAAACTAAGCAGCAAGGACCGGGACGGGCGGTTTCGGGTGTAGATTTTGTAGCTCACAGGCCTGTAGCATCCGTCCACCTAAGGCCCAACAGCCCTCACTGAGAGCTAGGCATTCGCATCCGGCAAGCTGCAGCCCTCCTGCCTAGAAGGCCAGGAAGCTGCGACCCAGAGGCCCAAAGCTCAGCCCCCTTTTCCACTCAGCGGGACCTCAGCGCCTGGCACCTCCACGGACAAGAACAATGACGAGTTGGTCTTGGCCCTTGGAGCACGGCGTGCAACTGCAAGTGGTCGGCTCTAAAGATCGCCCACAGTGATTGCAGTTCGCGCTTCTTCTGCAAAGCCTCCATGCCGAAAGACTGAATGCATCTACGGCCACGACGGCAGTAGGAGCCCCACAAATGCGCGAGAAGGTACTGTGCTTGCCATTGGCCCAAGGGAGGCATCGTACTGCAGGGATAGTCATTCATTATTCATTCACGAACAATTCACATGCAGACTGTCATGGCATGCATGTGAGGGACTTCGTAAAGTTGCAAGAGGTCACTTACGACCGAGAATGCGCAGGGCTGGTTCGGCTTGCAGTGGTAGAATCGGTGCTGTACTTCCCGTCTTGGAACTTGCGGTCTTTGGGTGCACCCATACACTCACACAAAGCTCCCTGCCCTCAGATTGCTGTCATTTCCATCGACACTGAGAACTGTGAGGCTACTGTGCATGGCGGGAGTCCGCCTCCGTCGAGCACCGGATCCAAAAGCTAGCATCTTGCACAACGATCTGTGACAAACACTGCACATACTGATGCACCCCTCGGCATGTCCTCGCCCTCGCGATGCACACGGAGCCCCGAAGAACATGCTGCGGCTGCAACTGAGATCACAGCATTGCGTCAACTGCCCACACATGCACCATTCAACTTACTGAATTCGAAAACCTTCTGCCGAGGCACCATGGAGGACTGCAACTTGCACTTCCAAGTTTCCTTACGACGCAAAATCGGCCGAAGGACACGTACACATGCGTGCATAAATACATACATGCAGACTTACAGGCCCGTTGCCTTGCTTACACACGTAAATCCGTCATGCGTAAACATGCATCTCTTCGAGCTATCGCGCGAAATTTGCCCATGAGTAAATGCAGCAAAGCATGCAAATCTGCTTGTCACCATGTTAAGGAGTGTACACAAACGGACATGCTACACGTGCTCGAGATTGCTCGAGCATGCCTTTTCTCAGCACCTGGCAATGTCACATTCGAGCTTCGACTCTTGGCCAATCGGGGGAAACAGCCTAGGTATTCAGAAGCCGGGCAGATCACAACCTCAACCGGGAAGAATGGATGCTAAAGACACCATTTAACAGGTTCCATAGGCTTGACATACTAGTTGGAAGGGACCTGGGATACCGGCAGATCACAGTCGCTGTTGAACTGGCAGGACTTTCCAAGCTGCATGTTATCCTCAGTAAAGGCTCACTGCTGAAGGCTGAGGCTTCAGGTCTGGAACTCATGCTGCACTAATTCGATCCAGGCCCACGCAGAGCACCTCTCTTCCAAGATCTGTGACCTCCGTTTGGCATGTGCTCGACACAGTTCAAGCCTCTGACAAAGAAAAGTTTGGGGATCTGAAGACGTGGCAGGCTTCTGCGAAGGGTCGACGTGCCCGGACATGACACTGCGCAGAGCAGAGCAGCCTCGCCTCGCCACGGAACTTTCGAGAGACTTCAGGAAGTTCAGGGTTCGGGTTCAGCCAGTCTGGGGCCTCGAAGAAGCGAGTGGCAGCCACAGAAGTCACCTTGGACCTTTGCGTGATGCAGAGTCTTCGGCAGCACGCCGGTACATAGATCCTGCTCCTGCTTCCCTCTTCTTCCGTCGTCGGTTGATCTTCTTGCTCTTATTCCTATGTTCAATATCTTTCTTCTTTTGCTTATTAGTCTTATTCTTATTGAGATTCTTCTAAGTTGAAGTTCTTCTTGTTGTTGCTACTACTACTACTGTTGAATTTGGTGGTGGTGCATGTGCGCGCGTGTGTGCACGTACGTCTGTCTTGTCATTTTGCTTTTCGATTTCTTCAACCTTGTCCGCCTGCGGTCTTTTGAGTTCTTGGTTCCTTGTTCACTTACTGGCAGGATGATTGGATCTTTAGCGTGTTTGCAGGGTTTCTGTTGACATACTGGCTCGCTTGCGAGCAGATGCCTGCTAGCAGGAGCTGGCCCAACCGTGCTGCATCACAATGAAACTGCAGGGGCTCTGAGTCGCCATCACAAGGCCGTGTCTTGGCGAGGACTGCTTCCGCCTGCCAGATTTATGCAACTTTTCTTTTGAGGTGACTTACAAGCAGTAGACTCACGAGATCAACAAGGCTAGAGAAACTAAAACTGACCCATGCGCCGTGGCCTCGGTACCACAGGGCGGATAGGTGGAAGTGGCCAGCCGGGAATCTTCACCTAAAGCCACCACCACCACGGCCAGCACCACCACCACTACTGCTACTGCTACAGCGGCGGCTTCGACTACGACGACGAGGAGGACCACTGCTGCTAAGGATTACTAAGTTACCAGAGACTCGCAGGTAGTGGTGGCACAGCCAGGCCCGGATCAGCTCGGTCAGCTGCAAGTTTCACTTTCGAGTGCCGCACAAGCCGCTGTCAAGTAGCGCTCGGCGAAGGTCAAACCTGAGATATCACGGGCATCTGGGAGAGTCTTGTACGGGCAGGCACAGGCGCCTGGGCCGCGCCACGACCCTGCCAGCATGTGGTGCCTGAGCTCCTGTTTCCAAAATGCGTGCACTGTATTTCTGCAACTTCTGCACCCCCCGCCTTCAAGGACAGCTCCGCTGTGAACACTGCTGCCTCATGGACATGTCCAAGATTTTGCCCCCAAAACGCCTAGCCACGCGCAGACAGCTCCACTTAAGACTAGAGCCACATCAATTTCACCCGAGTAGTTCCTCAGGTCGGCATCAGCGAGAAGTGTTGCAATTGCGTCGCAGCTGCTCAGCAATGAATGCGGGCAGGAATCCCAAGGGCAGCTTCCGTCTGAGACTTGCCAAACATGACCTGTCGCCGCGTGATCGGGGCATCCGACTCCGACGTCTTAAGCCTAGGGCCTAGATCATTCTCCGCGCAGTATCCTTTTGCCAACGTGACCGTGAAGAAGAAGATTATGATGATGCCGATAACGACCATGATGATGACCTCGATGAGAATGATGACGACGATCACGCTTGGTGCGGTGACGATGAGGAAGTAAACGACGATGACGCTGAGGAGCACCGTGAGAGGATGGATACAGTTGATGACGCCAAGGAGGAGTAGATACGAGGAGGATGCCGGAGATGGTACTCCTAAGCAACACGAAGTTCTGTTCGATGGTTGTCAGCTGCGCAGGTCTGTGCATATTGTTGCGTTGTGGTCATAGCAGAGTTGCTTTGCTGGCCTGAGTTGACTCCAAGCAGTTTTTTTGGTGGAGATATTCAGGACTGTGCTACTACGTTAACGACACATCTCTTGACAATTGCTTTTGCAGCAAC